TGTTGTCCTCACGTATTTTCTAGTGCTCTGTGTGTGTGCGCAGATCTCAGGCCCGTCAGGAGCCTGTGCTGATGGCAGGACTCAGGCCCGTCAGGAGCCTGTGCTGATGGCAGGACTCAGGCCCGTCAGGAGCCTGTGCTGATGGCAGGACTCAGGCCCGTCAGGAGCCTGTGCTGATGGCAGGACTCAGGCCCGTCAGGAGCCTGTGCTGATGGCAGGACTCAGGCCCGTCAGGAGCCTGTGCTGATGGCAGGACTCAGGCCCGTCAGGAGCCTGTGCTGATGGCAGGACTCAGGCCCGTCAGGAGCCTGTGCTGATGGCAGGACTCAGGGATGTAGCGCCCCTGTGTTAGTTAGCTGTCACACTGCTGTTTACTGACCAGCACACTTCGCTTTCTCCCGTCTTCATCACTGTCTCCCTGGAGACCTGCTGTGCGCGCCTTGTCTGTTCCTGCCTCAGCCTCTGGGTGTAGCTCAGTGTTTGTCCCGGGGTCTGGAGTCTGGCGTTTCCGGTGGGACAGGAGAGAACATTTAAAACTGTAATCGTGTTTATTCAACACCCAGTGGAGAAGTTGAGCTAGGATGCCGCGTCTGTTCGGGTGTGGAGCAGGCCCACCCTCTGAGTGTGCGCCTGGGGCGGACTGCCTCTCCTGCCGAGACCCACGTCGCTGGTGTGGGTCCTCGACCCCGACTTCCTGTGCGTGGTAGCAGGCTTGCTGGGTTACTCTCTTAGCAGTGTGGTGAAATTTCACTTTCAGAAGCTGATGGCTGTTTACTGTTCTGGGCCACATGCAGGCACTCAGAATTACGAGTTAGGGTCTGGCTTGTGGCTTTATTTTCCCCTGCCTGACCGCTGGGCCTGACATACTGTGAAAGTGAAAGTCGCTTGGTCATGTCCGACTCTTTGTGTCTCTACAGTCCATGGAATTCTCCAGGCCAGAATACTGGAGTGGGTAGCTGTTCCCTTCTCCAGGGGATGTTCCCCACCCAGGGATTGAACCCAGGTCTCCTGCGCTGCAGGCAGATTCTTTACCAGCTGAGACAAGGGAAGCCCAAGGATACTGGACTGGGTAGCCTTTCCCCTCTCCAGGGGATCATCCCAACCCCGAGATCGAACCAGGGTCTCCTGCATTGCAAGCTGATTCTTTATCACCTGAGCCACCAGGGAAGCCCCTTGACATGCTGTGATCATTGCTTATACCTTTTCAGGTGATGGGACTCGTCTTGATTTCCTATTCTCTGCTCTTCTCGGGAAAGGCCACGCCCCCACTGGCCCTGTTGGCTTTACCTGCTGAAGAGTGACCGTCCTCGGCATCTGGCGGCCACGTCTTTGTGGGTGACGCCCATGTGGCCTCGGGGCTCTGACTGCAGATACAGGCGTCGTCTGCGTGCTGAGTAGTGTGCCCTGTGTGCTGGGTACGCGTCCGTGAGTGTCGTGTGTGCCCGCCGTCTCGGCTTGAGGGAGCTCCCCGTCAACATGTGGCAGAGCAGGGGTTGGGGGGTGCACACCCCCAGCACCCCTTCTGGAAGAGGCGTGCGTGTCAGTGTCAGGAGAGAAGGCCAGGTGGGAGGGCAGGGCGATGGAGGCTTGAGGGGCTCGCCGTGCGGGAGGCGTCCCCCAGAGGTGGTTGGGGGACACGGGGCAGGGTGGACGAGCAGCCACTGTTTGACCACACCGCCTCTGCTGTGACGCGGTCCATCTCGTTACCCTCCAGAGCATATCCTTTCAGGGCTCCTCTGGAATCTGCATGGTCTCTGAGCCGTCGGGGGCACCCATGTGTGTTGAGATGTGTGCCCCTGGGGAGCCGACGTCTGCTCTCTTCATCGCCGGTGTGCAGGAGTGAGTCCAGCCGCAGTGGGTGTGCAGTGGACAGGCCACTCCTGCGTCCAGCAAACTGTGTGCTCCTGTATCGCTTTAAAATAGCCACTGCCTCGCATGACCTGGGACTCAGCGAGTATCTGTTGAGTGAGCGGATTCCTCTCTTGTGCCTTATTTGAACATCCTCTGAACGCAGACCGTGTCTGAGCCGGCAGGTGGTGGCTCTGGTTCCGCTGTGAGATTGGGACCCGCCGAGACGTGCAGTCTGGTGGTGGGCCTGGTTTCTGGATGTCGCCTCCCATTGCACTTCTCTCTGTGCTCTGACTGTGCTCAGGGCAGCCTTCCCCCCCGGCCTCCCACTGCCTGTCTCCCCTTCTCGGGGCCTTTCTCGAGCCCTCCTGCCCTCCCACCCCATCCCTTCTGAACCCAGGCCCAGTTTTGGCGACCCTCATTTTTTTCTGTGGCCTCGTCCTCCGCCGGCTCCTTTATGATAGATCTTCCAAATGATGTATCTGTTACAAAGACAAAAGATTTTTTAAATTTTCTCAAGATGTAAAATAATATGATCATACTTAATTTTTTTTTTTTCAGAGTTAAGTAGTCCATGGCTGAATGGCTGAGGCTCCAGACCCTTCCCGAGTCCAGATCTTGGCTCTGCTTCTCTGAACCTCACTTTTGTTGTCCGTAAACAGGGAAAATGATAGTCCTTAAAGCACGCTGGTGGTTCTGAGGGACACCTGGGTCGCCCAGAACCAGGGTGCGGAAGGTCGCTGAGCGCCCTTGCCCGGGGCCCGTGGCAGGCGGAGCGCTCGGTGTTGGTGGTGGCTGGCGCGCCCGTGTGGCTGATGTGCCCTGTGGGCTTGGCAGGCCGCTCTCTCCTCTGTAAAGCATTAAGGGAGTGCGAGTGCTCTTTGAAAGGCCTCACATTTTTTAAACTACAATTCTACGGTTGAAGTCACATGTCAGGGTCTTTGTGTGTGTGTGTCCAGGACTGTGGGTTTGCTGGCTATGCTTATTTTACAGTGTTTGAAATGAGCTGTTTTAAGTAGGAATCTTTGTAGCTCTTGGAGAAGGGAATGGCAACCCACTCCAGTGTTCTTGCTTGGAGAATTCCGCGGAGAGAAAAGCCTGGCCATCTGCAGTCCATGAGATCCCAAAGAGTCGGACACGCCTGAGCAAGCCTCACCTCACTTCATAGCTCTTCAGCACAGGCGCGAGGAAGCGCCCGCCCCATGTAGAGGGTGTCCTGCGCCCAGGGGTTTTCACGTGCAGGTCTTCAGAGGGAAGGACGTTCGCTGTCAGCGTGCCTCTGGGTGTCTGTCACCCTCTCGAATCCTGTGCTTCAGACCTAACAGAATTTCTAAGAAATGCTAGCATTCACTCAGCACCCGGGTACGCTTTTTGATGACTAGTACCCTTTGCAAGTTTCAGGATATTGCAGCCTATATGCAGTGCTGCAGGTGCTTAGAAGTGCTTTTCAGCTGTTACTGGTTACTCCTCCCTTTAGACATCTTTGCTTTACTTAAATGTTCGTTCATTCGTTTTGTAAGGATTTATTAAATCCCTGCATGTGCTGGACGTTGAAGCCAATGGTAGTGAACTGGTGGTAACAGACAGGCCCAGCCCTGTAACCCTCACCCCCAGGTCATTTAGGTTAGTGATGCTGCAACTTACTCATAAAGTCAATTTGGTGACTGTTTTGCTGACTCCCCGGTGGCTTAGATGGTAAAGTGTCTGCCTACAATTTGGGAGACCCAGGTTCGATCCCTGGGTCGGGAAGATCCTCTGGAGAAGGAAATGGCAGCCCACTCCAGTACTCTTGCCTGGAAAATCCCATGGACAGGGGAGCATGGTAGGCTGCAGTCCATGGGCCGCAAAGAGTCGGACACAACTGAGAGACTTCACTTTGCTTTCCTTTGCTGACATGTACCTTTTTTAAAAGGTAAAACATGGCTTTAAATATATTTTCTTGTAGTTGTAACAGCATTTTAAGAAATCTTGGCTCTTTAGTTGTACCCAAGTAATGAATATACATTAAATCTGGGCAAAGGGAGAAGAAGAAGAAATTATAGATGTATACTTACCACTCCTATTCATAAATAAAGAGAATAACTAGAAGTATGGCTGTATTTTTATCTAGAACCTTTCCATAATTCTGAGCATTGTAACTGCACTTTTTGCTTTAGGTTTTTCTATTCCCCCTCCTCTTTTAATTAATCAGTTAAAAATAAAATATTTTTCTGACCTTTAACGTGTGGTAACTTTAAAGGTTTTTTTATTTGAATCCAAGAAATGAAATTTTCTATAGTGGAAAATATCTGGAGGATTTATTTCTTTGGCTGTAAATTTTGTCAGTGAGAAACTTTTGTTCTACACATTGTGTATTCTTTCACATATCAAAGTTGATTTTAATTTGGCTCATTGCTTACTAACACTATTCTGATGAGCTATATGTGTTAACAGATTTAATTTTATTAGTTTTTCTAATGATTTGTATGTTAAGATCTTGGCCCTTTAATTTTATTTTGGATTAAATTCACAAAACGAAAATGCCCTTGCAGTATGGACTGAAGCTATTCTAGGGGAGGGGATTGTCTGTAAGTATTTTTATTTGGAACATTTAACTTTCCCACTTGTTATTTCAGTTCCTTCTGCATATCAAGTAGTTTTGGTCAAAATGCAGTCTTACTTATGATGAAAATTTTCTAAAACTCTGGTAACAATGAAAAGTTGAGTTTTTCATTGACATTTTTATTGAGACAATTGTACAGTCACATGCAGAGCTGTGGAAACACCACAGGGAGGCCTTGTGTTGGCCTGGCCTCTTCCCTGGGGTGCTCTTGCAGAGCCGGGGTGTGAGCTCACAGGCAGGGTGCTGGCACTCAGACCCCAGTTTTACTTGAACTAACTCTGTGTGTGTGTGTAAAGAAATCAGATTCTATTCTTAGAAAACTGCTAATGTTATTAACAATAACTTGATTTGTGACCTGGGGGTGGGGTGGGGTGGGGTTGGCGGGGGGAGGGGCCATTTAACCCCTCGTGCCTGGGATTTCTTATTGTCAGACAGTTCGATTGGATGATCTCTAGAATTCTTTTGGGTCACAGCATTCTGTAATTCTTGTATGAGAGCATTTTAGAATTTGAAATTACACCTTTTGTCTTTTCTCTCTTCTTGTGTTTAGGAAGAAAAGGCTTCTCTTTTACATCGTACTCAGGAAGAAAGAAAAAAGAGGGAGGTAAGTGTTTGTCCCCGTCGATAAGCAGTTTCCATAGCATTTAGCTAAGCCCTGCTTTTACTGTTTTATATACACAGATATATGTATGTATATGTGACATAACGTGTATTTGCATGTTTGTTAAACTTCTGAAACCATTCTGGATTTGTTGATTTTATGGTGACTCATCTAATGTAGATGGGCTAAAAGAATGTAGAAATAATGGGCTAAAAGAGCAGTTTGCAGAATAAGGGGAGAACATAGACTTTCGGTTCATGTAGTTGCTTATGGTGTGGCTTCCAGAAGGTATAGAAAGTCTTAGAGTATAATGTTCATATTTTACCAAGTAGGAGGAGAAGACTCCCTGTGAAGGCAGGTTGTCTGCACTATGTGTGTGTTTGTGAAGAAGATGAATACGTGAAAAGGGCTAGGGACCCCTTTTGTTACAGTCTCTTTCATGTTTCATCTTCGGAGATAATTTCTTAAAATGGCTTTGCTGTGTTGACTGACCAGCAGTCGAGGTGATCAGTTTCTTGTTTTGTTTTTTGATAAGTCGTCCATTCCTTTCACACACACATACTGAGAACTCATCGTGTTCTCTGTAGTGCTGTACAGGCTGGGTGTGAGTAGGGAATGAGACAGAACAGTGTTCCTGCTGGGCGTGGACCGCTGGTGTGAGCCAGGGTCTTGCAGCGGGGACCCGGAGGGCCTGCTGTGGGCCGGTGTTGAGGGACGGTGTCTCTGAGCTTGTCAGAGCTGCGTGAATTCCTGGAGGACGGGGCAGAAACCCCGTGGGAAGCTGGAACACCATCTGGGCTAGGGAGCCGCAGGTGCAAGGACTCTGGGGCAGGATCTCCCGGCCTCCAGGCAGCTGACGTATGTCCTGGGCCAGGCGGTGCCTTGTTGGGTGCCTGCCCACACACTGCAGGGTTAGCCCATCTCTTGGCCTCTACATTGGTTCCAGATGACCCACCATAAAATCAACAAATCCAGAATGGTTTCTGAAGTTTAGGATACATACAAATACATGTTATGTTACATATACACACATAGGGCCTCTCCAGCAGAGGCCTCGACCCTCCCTCCCCACACTGAGACAACCGCAGATGTCTCCAGAAGTCACCAAATGTTTCCTTGGTGGTGAAATAGCCCTCACTTGAAAGTCACTGCTCAAACAAGAAAAGTATGCTGAAAAACAAGAGAATGATACTGTAGTGGGTAGCCATTCCCTTCTGCAGAGAATCTCCGTGACCCAGCGCTCAACCCTCGGTCTCCTGCATTGCAGGTGGATTCTTTACCGGCTGAGCTGCCGGGAAGCCCGTGTGCTGGTCGCTGTATTTTGTCTTTCCTGGAGTGTCCTCAGCCAGCCCTCTCCCCGTGGTGCTTCTGCTCCATTCCCCCTCCCCTGCTCCTCTCGGACTCACGCTGCAGATACGTCCAGCCTTCACGTTCTACCCTGTGTGTCTGCTCTCCTCTGTTTATCCTTTTGAATATCTATGCTTTGATTTGGCTAGTCTCTTCTTGTCTAACTTCTGATTTACAGATTATCTCTTTTAGTGATGTCTGATTATTAAATACATCCACTGAGTTCTGAATTCTGGTTTTTATTTCCGTTCTAGAATTTTGTTTATTTTATTTACCAGTTCTCTTGTCTTTTAATTTCTTGAACATAATTGTAGATTTTTAAGCGTAATGTTTAAACTCCAGTATTTGGAATTCCTATGGGTTTGTTTGTGTTGTTTGTCCTCTTGATTTTAAATTCTTGTCTTTTGCCTGGTTATTTTGGTTGAATACTGGACATCGTATGTCCTAAACAGAATGATGCCTTCAGGTTCTAGAATATGACCTCTTCTTTTTGGAGAGCATTGCATTCATTTCTGGCAGGCAATAGGGAGAGGAACAATTAATCCCCTTTAACTGTTGTAGGGATGAGCTGACTTGAGGCTGACTTTCAGGCCTTGTGAGGGTTGACCTATTTCCGGTACACCTGCCAGAGAACTGGAGTGTTACTGAGACTTCCTCCCTAGTTAACCACTGAATGAACAAAAATGAATGTGTTGAAAATGCCTGGGATGATTTATGAGTTTATCATCAAGTACCCTTAGAATCATAGTTATGAATTGATGCCCAAACTTGGTTCCGGCTCAGGGGTTCCCTCGTAACCATCTCAAGCTCAGAGAGTGCACCTCTGTGACCTGACGGTGTGCTCTCTAATCCCAAGACTGCATGAGTTGTGTGCACCGTTCACGCCTGTAGGTGGCACTCAGAGGGGCTGTGAAACATCACGTGCTAGGACAGAGCACAGGTTTCGTGTCACACCTGAGTTTGCTTTCTGACTCATGGCGTTTGGCATCCTCAGTCTTTATGGAGAGCTCAGGCTCTGTGTCTGTAAAACAGGAGTGGTGCTCACCCGTCAGGGTACTGTGTGGATGCCTATGGATTGTCTCCAGGCGGGCATGCGGTGGGCCCTCAGGGTGCGGCAGCTGCAGAGATTAGAACAGTGATGAGTATTGTTCTTGCTCGGTCACTGAAAGTTTTAAAGGCAGTCTCAGGTGGTTCATAATTGGAGTTTTCTGCTTAGAAATAGAGTGACCTTTAAAATAAATGCTTCTATAAATGCTGGAGAGGGTGTGGAGAAAAGGGAACCCTCTTACACTGTTGGTAGGAATGCAAACTAGTACAGCCACTAGGGAGAACAGTGTGGAGATTCCTTAAAAAACTGGAAATAGAACTGCCATATGACCCAGCAATCCCACTCCTAGGCATACACACCAAGGAAACCAGATCTGAAAGAGACACGTGCACCCCAGTGTTCATCGCAACGCTGCTTCTAATAGCCAGGACATGGAAGCAACCTAGATGCCCATCAGTAGACGAATGGATAAGAAAGCTGTGGTGCATATACACCATGAAATATTACTCAGCCATTAAAAAAGAATTCATTTGAATCAGTTCTAATGAGATGGATGAAACTGGAGCCCATTATACAGAGCGAAGTAAGCCAGAAAGATAAAGACCAATACAGTATACTAACACATATATATGGAATTTAGAAAGATGGTAACGATAACCCCATTTGCAAGACACAAAAAGAGACACAGATGTATAGAACAGACTTTTGGACTCTATGGGAGAGGGCAGGGGTGGGATGATCTGAGAGAACAGCATCGAAACATGTATATTATCAAGTGTGAAACAGATCACCAGCCCAGGTTGGATGCATGAGACAAGTGCTCGGGGCTGGTGCACTGGGATGACCCAGAGGGATGGGATGGGGAGGGAGGTGGGAAGGGGGGTTCAGGATGGGGAACACATGTAAATTCATGGCTGATTCATGTCAGTGTATGGCAAAAACCACTACAATGGTGTAAAGTAATTAGCCTCCAACTAATAAAAATAAATGAAAAATTAAAATGCTTGTGATTTTTTTTTTAATACTTAAAAGCTTTTAAATTAAAAAAAATTTTAGTTGGACTCTAATTACTATACAGTATTGTAGTGGTTTTTGCCATACATTGACATGAATCAGCCAGGGGTGTACATGTGTTCCCTATCTTGAACCCCCCTCCCACCTCCCTCCCCATCCCATCCCTCAGGGTCATCCCAGTTAAAAGCTTTTTTTAAAAAGTCTGACTGTGCTGGCAGAATTGTAAAATGGTTAGCTGTTTTGGAAAACAGTTCAGTAGTTCCTCAAATATTAATTCTATGCCTGGGTATACACCCAAGAGAATTGAAAACCTGTGTCCCCACAAAAGTTGGTACATGAGTGTCCACATCAGCATTATTCATAATAGCCTAGAGTGGAAAGAGCCCAGTGTCCACCAGCTAGTAAGCGGATAAGCAAAGAAGACAGTTGGACAGTGAAGCGGCCGTAGAAAGGGGTGAGGTACTCACACAGGATGTGCCGTGGGTGAGACTTGAGGACACAGTGCCGAGTGAACGGTCAGGCTCAGAGGCTGCATATTATGGTTCCCTTGTGTGTAACGTCCAGAATGGGGAGTTCCATGGAGATAGAAAGTTGATTAGTGATTGCCAGGGCAGGGTGGACGGGTTGGGTGGGACAGAGTGTGAGGGGTGACTGACGGCCAGCGGGTCAGAAGTTTTATGGGGCCGAGTGATGAAAATGTTCTGAAAGTAGACAGCGGGCATGACTGCACAACTTTGAATATATTAGAAATTGGTGAATGGTATGTTTCAAAGAGTGGATGTTGTGATGTGTAGTCTTAATGAGTATATGTCATTTTCACTGATTCTGACCAATTGTTCTTCCTCCCAATGTTATTCAGGAAGAAAGGCGAAGATTGAAAAATGCAATAATTATCCAGTCATTTATTCGAGGCTATAGAGACAGAAAACAGCAAGTAAGTTTGCTTTTAAACTGAGAAGGAATTAAAAAGGCATGAGAAAACTTACTTTGAATATAGCATTGGATTCTTAGAGGTGGAATTCATTTTGTGTGCATTTTTATGTGTACTTGTTTAACAAAAGTTAATGTGGATAATATTTTCCCCAATGATTAATTTGCTAGTTTATATAAAAGTATATGGATAGATGAGGTTTTTGGTGGTTTTTAAGTTATGAAATAGAAACCTAGGCCAAACTGCGCTACAGATCACAGTAAATAGAGGTGGTGGTAGCCCCTGTGGAGGGTCTGTAACAGGTACACCCCAGGCTCTCCAGCCGTGACTTCCCAGTGACGTAACCCTAGTGGGTGGTCTGCACTCTGCTGACCGCGGGCTGCCTCAGGCCGCGCGAGCACTGATGCTGTTCTGTGTCTCGGTCTGTTTCCAGTGTTCCATCCAGAGGACTGCGTTCGACCGCTGTGCCAGCCTGGCCCAGTCTGGCGGCACTTTTCCCCTTGCCAGCGGCCCCAACCTTACCCTCCTGGTGAGGCAGCTTCTGTTTTTTTATAGACAGAGTGAAGACTCAAAACGTTTGGTGAGTGTTGACTCTGCTTCCACTAACCCTTGTGTGCGTGTTTTCCAGCTTTTGGTTTCCTGTGGTCAGACCACCCCCCAGCAAGGCTCTCCTTGGTGAACTTCCGCAGTCAGCGGCGGTGGGTTGTCTTTGTGATCAGGTGTTTTCCCTCTTAAAGTTGATAGATGATCAGTAGGCTTTTTCATTTTTTTTTTTTTTTTATGGAAAATTTCAAATATAAGAAGCAGTGGGGTGCTGTGTGGTGCATGCACTGCGCAGCGTTACCGGGGTGCGCGGTCCACCCTTGTTCAGCACGGAGCCCACCTTTGTTTCTGGGATGCGGTCCTCAGTGTCACAGCGTTAACCCGGGGGTGCTTCAGGGTAAGGCTCTGACCTCCAGGGTCTTGCGCTGAAACATCGAAACATAATTGTATAACTTAAAACATTTTATAGGCTTGTGATGTTACCAATGATGAGGAATGGTGTGTATTAATGGGGGACATCCATGACTGTCAGTCTTTTTAAAAAGTAGAACTTGCCACTGTGTCCAGTTTCCCAGAAAATGAGATTCGTGTGTAATTATTAGGTTAAATCACATACTTATTCTTAGAAATCTTTACTTGTAATAAAAATTTAAAATTAAAGGATGAGTTTACAGTAAAAGGTAAGCCTTCTGTGGTCCAGCCGTGCGACTGGCAGCACCCTTGTGTGAAACTCAAGTACAGGAGATGGAGAGTGCTGCACTGCCCAGGTGAGCTCTGGCTCTGACACCCACTCTGCTTCCTGTTCTGAGCCGGGATGGGCCGTGGGAGGAACGATCCATAGATCTCGAGAGTGGTGAAGGTGGCTGCCTTAGACGCACCTTTTCTTGGCTCTGTCTAAAGCCGATGAGGAGAGGAATAACACATGCACAGCAGCAGGGCTCGGCGCTCTGTCTGGATTAGACTGTCCCTCCTTCCCCTGCTCTGAGCTCACGGACTGAAGGTCAGGTGTGGAGCACAGCCGGGGGGCGAGAGGGTCAGGAGGGTCGAGCGTCTGTCCAGAGCGCCTTTGCCTTTGGAGAGCTGCCCCTGGCTGCCCCGAGGTCCGGTCACCAGTCCTGCGTGGTTTTTAGGCGGGCAGCGGCCTGGCCCCATGGCCCTACATGAATGTAGAATTGGCCAGTTCCTCAAACCTGGCTTATACGACAAAAGCAAACCAGATGGTTTATTCAGTTTGCAAACAAAAATGCAAGAACAATGAACCAGTCACATAATATGTGGAGGGTAGGTCTCCTGCCCCATCTTCAGGTTCCCTGCTTCCTATCTTAAGAGCACGCGTGACACCACTGTTGGGAGTTTATTTATTTAATGTGCTTCGTACAAAACAGCATATATGGCTTTCCCTTCCTCACCTACTCCCTTGACTTATTTTTTATTGTTATGACTAAATATGCTCGCTGCTAAAGTGATGCTTTGTATAGTCTTCCTGAATTCCTCTGGCGTTAGCACCAGGTCACTGTTATCTCATTTTTGCGCCTCTTGAGGGCCAGGTCCTCTTCTACCCCTGCTCAGCCAGGCCCCTGGTGCATGCCCCCGCCCCCACCCCAAGCCACCTGCTGCACCCCGGGGGCGCGCTGCGCTGTTATCCTGGGAAAACCCTTGCTCTGTTTCTCTTCAGTTTTAGATCCTCTCTCCTGAGTCCGTTCCTTTTTGCTTGCTTGATTTGCTCCCTCGTTTTATTGATATACACCTTCAGTTGACTTCCTGAGAAAGGATGCATAAGAGGGAAAGTTTATATATCTGAATTTAGTGAAAAAAAAAAAACAACAACAAACAACAAAAGAGTAGGAAAAAAAGTGAAGCAAAGCAGGTATTTAATGTACTTAGAACTTTGGGAATGATGATGTTGGTGCATTTGTCAAGAAATTTAAAAGCAGTGTCAAAGTCCAGTCCACTCCAGAGATATATTATACAGCACAGGGAATAAAACCAGTATTTTATAATAACTACAAGTGGCATATAACCTTTGAACATTTTAATCGTTATGTTGTATCCATGAAACTCATATAATACTGTCCATCAGTTATGTGTGCATGTATGCTCAGTCACATCTGACTCTTGAGACCCCAGGGACCGTAGCCCTCCAGGCTCTTCTGTCTGTGGGATGTTCCAGGCAAGAATACTGGAGTGAGTTGCCATTTCCTCCTCCAGGAACATCACTTGTGCCTTAATTAAAAAGAAAACAAACCCAGTCCAAGAAGTGTTAAAGAAAGTGCTTTGAGGGTTTCTTTATGGGGTTGAACCATAATTACTTGATTAGTGTATTTACGCCTTATTCTTACAGTTCCTACAGTTGCCCATTAGATTGTTACAGTGTTTACTGCACCTTCTACTGTTATTTGTTAATGGGTTAAGAGATAGGAATGCCAGACCACCTGACCTGCCTCCTGAGAAATCTGTAACAGGTCAGGAAGCAACAGCACTGGACATGGAGCAACAGACTGGTTCCAAATCGGGAAAGGAACACGTCAAAACAGTATATTGTCACCCTGCTTATTTAACTGATGTGCAGAGTACATCATGAGAAACACTGGACTGGAAGAAGCACAAGCTGGAATTAAGATTGTGGGGAGAAATATCAGTAACCTCAGATATTGATACCAAATGATACCACCCTTATGGTAGAAAGCAAAGAACTAAAGAGCCTCTTGATGAAAGTGAAAGAGAAGAGTGAAAAAGTTGGCTTAAAACTCAGCATTCAGCTAACTAAGATCATGGCCTCTGGTCCCATCACTTCATGGCAAATAGGTGGGGAAACAATGGAAACAGAGACTTTATTTTTGGGGGCTCTAAAATTACTGCAGATGGTGATTGCAGCCATGAAATTAAAAGATGCTTGTTCCTTGGAAGAAAAGCTATAACCAACCTAGACAGCATATTGAAAAGCAGAGACATTACTTTTCCAACCGAGGTCCGTCTAGTCAAAGCAATGGTTTTTCCAGTAATCATGTATGGATGTGAGAGTTGGACCATAAAGAAAGCTGAGTGCCGAAGAACTGATGCTTTCGAACTGTGGTGTTGGAGAAGACTCTTGAGGGTCCCTTGGACTGACAAGGAGATCCAACCAGTCTATCCTAAAGGAAACCAGTCCTGAGTATTCATTGGAAGGACTGATGCTGAAGCTGAAGCACCAGTCCTTTGGCCCCCTGATGTGAAGAACTGACTCATTTGAAAAGACCCTGATGCTGGGAAAGATTATAGGCAGAAGGAGAAGGGGGCGACAGAGGATGAGATGGTTGGATGGCATCGCCGACTCGATGGACTTGAGTTTGAGCACACTCTGGGATTTGGTGATGGACAGGGAGGCCTGGCGTGCTGCGGTCCATGGGGTCGCAGAGAATCGGACACGATGATGAGTGGCTGAACCAAACTGAACTGAATGGTGTATGAATTTTAGAATGCACTGCTTGTCAGATAGTGCAGAAAACGTGTGTGTCACATTGGTTCCTGAGGAAATAGGGACAAGCAGCTCCAAATGCCTCAAGTTGAGCTTTTGTGTAGGCAGATGAACAGTTGGGTGGGGTCTCAGTTCCTTCCCACCTACTTTGGACCCACTAGGATTTACCAGGCAGAACACTTGTGCTCAGGCTTTGATAACATCTCATATCAGGTAAGCTTTACTGTCAGAGGAGACGCAACATGACAGGCACAGGTGAGAGGCTCTCTCAGTTGTAACTGTTTCTGTTGGTAAATGAACAGGCAGCAAAACACGTATCGGAGAGAAAGAGAGTCCAGCAGGCTCCTTGTCAGGGGCGGCGTTTCAGTCACTCAGAACAGGGCGTCCGCACCTGCTGGGTGCGGCGGATGCAGGTCTGAGGCCACGCTGGCTGAGCGCGGGGCCCCATCACTGGTCGCGCCCAGGACGGCGGGGGTTCAGGCCCTCCCCCCACAGCTCTGACCTTTGCTCCCCTCAAGCACACTGCAGTATAATTGACAAATAAAGCTGTGATATTTCAGTGCGGCCTGTGATGGTTTGTATAAACACTGTGATGGGATTCCTCCATCTAGCTGTGACATAACTCTCACCTGACGTGTTACACGCCTGGCCTTTTATCGGGGGTGGTGGGGCTGTAAGATCGCTTTTTCCACCAGCATTTCACGGATTGGGGAGGAGAGCATCCACAGGAACAGTGCTGGAAGCTAGAGAAGACAGGTGAGAAGGAGCCGCTGTCCTTTGTAATTTAGGATTAAGACTGTGATTCTCACTGTTTTTATTGTGGACTGCTAGATTTTGTAAATGAACTGTTTCTCTTTCACTTTTATGTGAGTTTTCTAATACTTACTCTTAAGTAATTTAACTTCATGCTGATGTGCTTTTTTAGGATGGAAAAGTCAGGATGTGTGTATCCTTCTCACTAAAACTTTGACTTAGAAGATTGATTTCTCAGCCATGTTTTTATTATTTTGATTGTGTCTGCCAGTTAAGGAAATTTGGTATGTTATGTAATTAGAAAACAGTTAACTTTTTACAGACTAACGAGTTGTATGTTTTGCTCTTTCAGATATGGATGTATCAGAACCTGATTAAACACAGCGCTCTGTTTGTCCAGCAGTTGGAAGGATCTGAGAGACTCACATGCTTGTTTCAAATAAAGAGGTTGATGAGCCTCTGTTGCAGGTAAACCCATTTTCGTCCCCAGCTTGGGTGATGTGGTGATCTCGTTGCCTAGAAAAATATTGTTGTGTTTCAGTGTCTTAGTGGTTTTCCCTTTGTTGTTGGTTTTTTTGAGACTGAAATGTTACTGTTTTCAGTTTTTACTCCTGTGATCCTCCCTTTAGAAGTTAAAATGTAGTTAAGCATACCTTCCAAGGGATGTTTTCTTCCCGGTGTGGCCTGGAATCGCCCTGTGGGACGTCAGGCATCTGGTTGCTTGGCGACTGGACAGGCCAGGTGAAAGACCCGTCTCTGTGCTGATGGTCACTGATCCCAGGCCCCAGGGTCGCTGCCTGCAGGTGATGGGTCAGGCCTTTCATCAGGCTATCCTGACCTGTGTCCTGGACTCAGTTCAGAGCATACTGAGGTGATGTGAGTAGTAGCACTTGAATGAAAAAGCAAATTAACATCTTAACCATTTTTCTAAAATTTGGTGATGTCTGCACCGTAGCCAACTTTGAAATGATTCTGAGCCTTTAATACACTTTCAGCTAATTTTCTGGAAGGTGCGTGTAGTAAGGTTTATTTAGGGTTCCTATCAGAATGAGGCCTGTTAGCTCAGATCCTGATCTTCTCGAGAGCCTGAGCTGCACTAGAAACAAAGTGGAAAACCCCCAAAGAGAGAATGTGGATGATCAAGAGCCCCAGTAAATCTTTTTTTTCCCCCAGACCCCTTTTATTTCTTGAAAAATGTCCTTTGAAAAACACATCGTATACGTTGATTCGCTGGAGCAGGAGTTCGTGGACCTTCTCTGTAGACGCCTGCACAGCACAGTGAGGTCTGGGCACCGTGGCCTCTGTTACACACACGGCTTTTCCTCACAAGCCCTCAGAGGTGTCAGGCGTACCCTTCCCCAGAGCAGCATAGTCTGGGGCTCTCTTGACCTGGGGGTTGTAGTTTGTGGCACTTAATGTGCTTTTGAAGGTATTCATCCAGCAAGTAATTTTATTTCCTTTTTTTCTTCTTTTTTTTTTCCATTTATTTTTATTAGTTGGAGGCTAATTACTTTACAACATTGCAGTGGTTTTTGTCATACATTGAGATGAATTAGCCATGGATTACATGTATTCCCCATCCCGGTCCCCACTCCCACCTCCCTCTCCACCCGATCCCTCTGGGTCTTCCCAGTGCACCAGGCCCGAGCACTTGTCTCATGCATCCAACCTGGGCTGGTGATCTGTTTCACCCTAGATAATATACATGTTTCGATGCTGTTCTCTTGAAACATCCCACCCTCGCCTTCTCCCACAGAGTCCACAAGTCTGTTCTATACATCGGAGTCTCTTTTTCTGTTTTGCATATAGGGTTATCGTTACCATCTTTCTAAATTCCATATATATGTGTTAGTATACTCTAATGGTCTTTATCTTTCTGGCTTACTTCACTCTGTATAATGGGCTCCAGTTTCATCCATCTCATTAGAACTGATTCAAATGAATTCTTTTTAATGGCTGAGTAATATTCCATGGTGTATATGTACCACAGCTTCCTCATCCATTGGTCTGCTGATGGGCATCTAGGTTGCTTCCATGTCCTGGCTATTATAAACAGTGCTGCGATGAACATTGGGGTGCACGTGTCTCTTTCAGATCTGGTTTCCTCGGTGTGTATGCCCAGAAGTGGGATTGCTGGGTCATATGGCAGTTCTATTTCCAGCTTTTTAAGGAATCTGCACACTATTTTCCATAGTGGCTGTACTAATTTTCATTCCCACCAACAGTGTAAGAGGGTTCCCTTTTCTCCACACCCTCTCCAGCATTTATTGCTTGTAGACTTTTGGATAGCAGCCATCCTGACTGGCGTGTAATGGTACCTCATTGTGGTTTTGATTTGCATTTCTCGGATAATAAGTGATGTTGAGCATCTTTTCATGTGTTTTTTTGCCATCTGTATGTCTTCCTTGGAGAAATGTCTGTTTAGTTCTTTGGCCCATTTTTTGATTGGGTCATTTATTTTTCTGGAGTTGAGCTGGAGGAGTTGCTTGTATATTTTTGAGATTAATTCTTTGTCTGTTGCTTCGTTTGCTATTATTTTCTTCCAATCTGAGGGCTGTCTTTTCACCTTGCTTATAGTTTCCTTTGTTGTGCAAAAGCTTTTAAGTTTCATCAGGTCCCATTTGTTTATTTTTGCTTTTGTTTCTAAAATTCTGGGATGTGGGTCATAGAGGATCCTCCTGTGATTTATGTCGGAGAGTGTTTTGCCTGTGTTCTCCTCTAGGAGTTTTATAGTTTCTGGTCTTACATTTAGATCTTTAATCCATTTTGAGTTTATTTTTGTGTGTGGTGTTAGAAAGTGTTCTAGTTTCATTCTTTTACAGGTGGTTGACCAGTTTTCCCAGCACCACTTGTTAAAGAGGTTGTCTTTTTTCCATTGTATATCCTTGCCTCCTTTGTCGAAGATAAGGTGACCATAGGTTCGTGGATTTATCTCTGGGCTTTCTATTCTGTTCCATTGATTTATATTTCTGTCTTTGTGCCAGTACCATACTGTCTTGATGACTGTGGCTTTGTAGTACAGTCTGAAGTCAGGCAGGTTGATTCCTCCAGTTCCATTCTTCTTTCTCAAGGTTACTTTGGCTATTCGAGGTTTTTTGTATTTCCATACAAATTGTGAAATTATTTGTTCTAGTTCTGTGAAAAATACCATTGGTAGTTTGATAGGGATTGCATTGAATCTATAGATTGCTTTGGGTAGTATAGCCATTTTGACAATATTGATTCTTCCAATCCATGAACACGGTATATTTCTCCATCTGTTTGTGTCCTCTTTGATTTCTTTCATCAGTGTTTTATAGTTTTCTATGTATAGGTCTTTTGTTTCTTTAGGTAGACATACTCCTAAGTATTTTATTCTTTTTGTTGCAATGGTGAAAGGTATCGTTTCCTTAATTTCTCTTTCTGTTTTCTCATTGTTAGTGTATAGGAATGCAAGGGATTTCTGTGTGTTAATTTTATATCCCAGCAAGTAATTTTAATAGATGATAGATCCAAATGCAATTTCTGCTTGTTTTCCCCAACTTTCTGTCTTGGAAAATTTCTGGGCGGTGTTTGCTCACCAGGATCCTGGCCTGCAGGCACTTGAGCCTATAGGTCTCCAGTCACTGCCCAGTGGCACCCGATGAGAGCTGCTGGTGTGGGGCACACTTGATTCAGCCTAAACGTGTGTGAGCAGACTTCCTCAGAGCAGGGCATGTGAGAGCCCTGGCACCTCAGCCCACAGACACATCCCGAGGCGAGTCTGTGCTCAGTGAGGCCAGGTGCAGGTGGAGACTCCGCTCCATGTTGTGCAGGCCCACGTTGTCCAATGCCGCCTACCCCCAGGGCTGGCCTTCCCCCAGGGCTTTTCACATCTGGTGATCTGGGCTTGATACTGTTGTTATGTCCATGGCTCATTCAGTGCTGATTTTTCTAATGGAGGTGTCTCTTCAGTGCTGGTTAGTTGGCTTGTTTGTGAAGAGGACCCTGCCTCTTTTCCCTTTTGGCTCATTCGGCCTTGTGTTGTCTTTTAGCGCTTGATGGAGGGAGCTCTTCTCAGAAGCCCTCCATCCCCGCCCCATCTTTCGAGCCTCAGTGTCTCCTGGGACCATGCTACTTTGGGCTCACTTAATACCACCCCTGCAAGCCCAAGCTTGGGGCTCTTTTCTCTGGGGAATCTGGTTCTCTTAGATGATGAATGAAATTTTAACAAGGTTTAAAAAAAAAGAAATTTTAACAAAGTAAAATTAAAACAGTAATCTGTTAGAAACTTCAGTTGTTTTATGTTACTTGCCACGTGCCGGGCGCTGAATTTTAGGTGTGTAGGCAAGTTACCAGAGAAGGGGCATATGCCGCCTTCTCTTTTAGTCTCCATGGGAATTCAGGTCAACTGTCAAGAGCAAGAAAAGTGTAGATAGTGAACCAGAGGCTGGTCCCTGCTGTGAGAGGAGGTGGAGCCCAGGATGGAGCTGGAGAGTCCAGGCACATCATGGGGGGGGTGCAGTCAGAATTGATCGTTGAGTTGGTAATGCTCAGTGTTAAGTCAGGACTCGCGTGTGAGCACGTGTCAGTGACGTCACTTAACTGGTTACTCAAGGAGGGAACCAGTAAGATGTTCCAGCTGATTCAGATGAACCTGCCTCAGGGAATTTGTATTCCCTGTCTGACAGAGCCCTTTGCATTGCCAGGAACAGGAATAATTTGTGTAGCTTAGTGTGGGAAACATTTGCATTGCCGTCAGTGTTCTCCAGGCTCACGCCTGTCTGCAGAGTTGGGGGCCAGCCTGTGGAAGGCGGGGATGGAGGGAACCCAGTGACTGAGCTGGGCCGGCCACCAGTCTCCCTCCCCCCATTTCACAGAATGACGATTTTTCCCTGCAGTAAGGCCGTTGGTGCCTGTAATGACAGCTGTGATGGAGGGTGGGCACGGGGGTCTGGTTGGCGCGGCTGTAAGAGGAATTGAGAAGGGAGAAGAGCTCTGCACAGGCACCAGTGCGGGCCGGGGTGGGAGAGCTGGTGGCGTCTGGAGAGTGGCATGGGGACCTGGCAGCCTGGTTGGCGAGGATCCAGGGACAGGGAGACAGGCCTGGGGAGCCCGGCCTGAAGTGGGCAGAGGCTGTGCGGCTGGAGGGCCTGGGGTCGGGCCAGGGTGCAGCCAGGATGGGTTACTCATTTTCTCAAGAGACAGCCCATGGCAGAGGAGATGTGCGAATGCCCCCTGAGCACCGGAAGCCCAGTGTCAGCCCCTGGTGAAGTGTGCTGGTCCGGCTGCCAGAACAGCTGCGGCTTGACAGTGTCAGGACTGTGTGTGGTGTCCGCGGAACAGCTGGGTCGCTCAGCCCTGCCTCTCAGCTTGATGGTTCCTTGTGATGTCTGGCTGCCGTGTGACCTGTAGTTCCTCGCCCAGGAGCTGACCCAGGAGAAGTGAGGCAGGTCCACAAGGCTGCTTTGAATGTTCAGACAGCTTTATATATAACAAGAAAAGACTGGCAATGACCCAGGTCCCTGTCAGCATGTGAATAGATAACAGAAACATGGTGTTTGCATGCCGTGGACTAGTGCTCGCTGTGAAGGGACCACATTGTTAACATATGCCGGCTGAGTGTCAGAAAGTTGCTGAGGGAAGGCTCTGGACATTGATGTGTGCGTTCTCTGTGATTGCTTCTGTTTAGAGCAGAGTCTGTAGTGACAGCGTTGCTGCGGCGGGGGTGGGGCTGGGGGAGAGTGGGGGGAGGATTTACTGGAGGGCCGAGAGGTGGAGCGGAGATGTGCTCCGTGTCTGCGTTGGGTGTGGTGTCAGAACTCTGTCGCTGCTGCTGTTCAGTCGCTCAGGCGTGTCCGACTCTTTGCGGCCCCATGGACCGCAGCATGCCAGGCCTCCCAGAGCCTGCTCAGACTGATGTCCATTGAGTCAGTGATGCCATCCAACCATCTCGTCCTCTCTTGTCCCCCTCTCCTCAATCTTTCCCACCATCAGAGTCGTTTCTAATGAGTCAGCTCTTCCCATCAGGTGGCCAAAGTATTGGAGCGTCAGCTTTAGCATCAGTCCTTCCAGTGAGTATTCAAGGTTGGTTTCATTTAGGATTGACTGGCTTGATCTCCTGGCATTCCAAGGAACTCTCAAGAGTCTTCTCCAGCACCACACAATTTGAAAGCATCGGTTCTTTGGTGTTCTTTATGGTCCAACTCTCACATCTGTACACGACTACTGGTAAAACTATAGGGACTTGGGACTTTGATTCTACGGAGCTTTGTCAGCAAAGTCTGACAATGTCAGACTAAAAAGCAATGTCTCTGCTTTTTATTATGCTGTCTGTGTTTGTTACAGCTTTCCTTCTAAGGAGCAAGTGTCTTAATTTTGTAGCTGCAATTACTGTCTCTGGTGATATTTGAGCCCAATAAAATAAAATTTGCCACTGTTGGCCACTTTTCTCCTATCTATTTGCCTCAAAGTGATGGGACTGGATGCCACGATCTTAGTTTTTTGAATGAACTCACTGTATTGCCTGCTTTGCTGCTGCTAAGGCGCTTCAGTTGTGTCCAACTCTGTGAGACCCCATAGACGGCAGCCCACCAGGCTCTGCCTTCCCTGGGATTCTCCAGGCAAGAACACTGGAGTGGGTTGCCATTTCCTTCTCCAATGCATGAAAGTGAAAAGTGAAAGTGAAGTCACTCAGTCATGTCTGACTCTCTGCAATTCCATGGCCTACAGCCTACCAGGCTCCTCCGTCCATGGGATTTTCCAGGCAAGAGTACTGGAGTGGGGTGCCATTGCCTTCTCCGATTGCCTGCTTTAAATGAGTACAAATTATTGCATGTAAATTATGTCTCCATAAAGTTGATTTTTAAAAAAGACTTTCTCTGTTTTCACATAAAACTTAGTTTTGTAACAGCTAAGCCTTCCTTTCTGCCTGTAATTCTCATAGTGAGATGAGAGTCTTTAGTTAAAATGCTGGGTGACTTAGGACCAGAAGTAGATTAAACTGTCTTCTTGGGGGATGTTTTGGGCATGGGAAATCTTGAAGGAGGCATGTTCGAAGAGGCTCGTGGGCACTTTTAAGGAGCTCCACAGCTGAGCTGGGTTAGATGGAGCATGGGTAAGTTAGGGGCTCTCCCCGGGCTGACCTTCCCCACACTGAGTTTCCTTGTCTGCTTCTCCCTCCCTCCTTGATTGCACATTTTTCCTCTCTCAGCCTGGAGCCAGCATCCTGTGTGGCTCATAATGAGGACTCAAAGTGCGAGTGACATGGTGCTTGGCTGTTTCCTGAGGCCTGCCTGTTTTCGGGGACATTGAAGGACTAGAGCAGAGGGGCCTGAGCACCTCCCGTGCTCGAGCGAGGAGAGAGTGAGGACTTCTTGGTGGCACTTGCCGTCTCGTGCCTCTGGGACACCTTTTCCACTTTTACAGGTTGCTGCAGAGCTGTAACGATGACAGTCTGAATGTTGCGCTTCCCATGAGGATGCTGGAGGTGTTCTCCTCTGAGGACACTTACTTGCCTGTTTTACAAGATGCTAGCTACGTGGTGTCCGTCATTGAACAAATTTTGCACTACATGATTCAGAATGGTGAGTTGGCGGTGTCAGACCTGAGGGTGGTGCTGTTGTGAGCGGTCGGCAGTGGCCAGGGCACTTTTCAGGGCCGGGACCGCGAGTTTGCGGCTAGGATGGGATCTTTGTGGGTCACAGATTCTAGCATCTCTCCTCTTGTCTACCCCCCTCAGAATTTGGAAATGCATCTAATCTCTAACTCTCCCTGTTGCTTGAAAGTGAAGGAAACTAGGTCATCCCAGGTGCAGTTACATGGGCCGGGTGGGGCTGGGCTGTGCTGCCATGGCTAAACTTGGCCTGGGTGCTGGGCACAGTCAGCCTCCAGCACGGCAGCGTGCTGACCGACCTGGAAAGAGCTTGTCCCAGAAATCAAGTGGTTCAGTAGAGGAGAGGGAGATGCTCAGTGTGTTTGAAGTTTCTCATTAAGTCAGTGACACCTGTCTTCAAGTGACTGCACTGTCGGGGTAATAACCTCCATCTGAAAGTCCCCTGAGGACGCCTTAGCGACGCAGGCAGAAAGACGAGGAAGTGCACGCGGTTCTTTAGACTTTTGTGACAGTTGAGTACTGTAAAATAAACCTTCTCAAGAGTTTGATTCCAGGGAGTTCCTAGTGGCCTTGTGGTCAGGACTCGGCGCTCTCAGTGCCAGGGACCCTGGTTCAGCCCCTCGCTGGGGAACTGAGATCCCACAGGCCATGTGATGTGGTCAGCAATAGCAGGGAATCTCTGACTTTGTTCTCACAGGGCGGGTATCGGATGCTGCAGGGTTCCTGGACTCCAAGAGCGTTAACGTTAAAATGGGTGTGTTACTGGTCATAAAAGGAGCTATTAAAAGACATTCCAGGAAGCAACAGTTACTGATAAAAACATAATTTTGCTTTTGTTTTCTTGATGGGCTACTATAGGTTAAATCTAGCTAATTTAATCCTCAAGATTAAAACTGTAGAAATTAAATTCTTATACATCCAGCCTTACTGATTGGCTTAGGTTAAAAAAAAGAAAGAAACCTTACTTAGTTTATTGAAAAATTAGGGAAATTACTGAGTTAATTAAAAATAAATTGGAAAATTTGGAATTTGATCTTTAAAAAACAAATTTTAAAGTCCACTGTGTATTGATGTATTACTGTATATATTGATATTAAGGCTAAGCATTTGATACAAGTTTTTCCTTTTGCTTTCTAAAAGTGTGAAGAAGATTACTAAGGAATATGCACTTTTTAGAATATGTCTTGAACTAGGAAATGCTTCAAAACCTTACACAGAAAGTGCTGCTTCCAGCATCTTCTGTGGCATAGCTGTGTTTCATCTTTTTTGATAAATTACGTCCTGACACTACTAGTCTATACCATTTTAACATCTTGTTTATTCATAAGTTTGTGTTGTTGTCATACACCGTGTTGACGTAACCTGAAGCTTTTCACAGTTGCAACTAAATTTAGTGAGCTGTTCATGCTGTCGGTCTGTCCAGTATACACACATGTGATGTTGGTATAATAATGTGATACTCCAGAATTATTCTTAGCATGTTCAACATTTTTTTGATGTATTTGTTTTTTCAGGTTTTTTAAAAAAAAATTTTAGTGTTTTTTGACTGTGGTGGATTTTCATTGCTGAGTGGCTTTCTCTAGTTGCAACGAATAGGGGCTACTCTCTAGTTACTTGGGTCCTTGGGCTTCTCATTGCAGTGGTTTGGTTACAGCTCCCGGTTCTAGAGCACAGGCTTGATAGCTGTGGCTCATGGGCTTAGTTGCTCCCTGGCATGTGGGGTCTGTGTGGACCAGGGATCAAACCTATGTCTCTTGCATTGGCAGGTGGATCCTTAACTACTGGACCACCAGGGAGGTCCCTGCATTTTCAGTTTTATAGCAGAAGAGCTTTCCCTGTCTTGCTGAGTGTTGCTGGTTAAGCAGTGTCTGTGAGGTTAGGGTTGGGGTGGTTACAGAGCAGGTCTAGTGGTCCCCTGCGGGGACGCCCTGTTCAGCAGCCGAACCTCGGGTGCAGAGTGGAGAGCCCCCAGTGGGTGGGGAGTGTGTTCGTGCATGTTTACAGCGGCAAGGTACTCACAGACTACAGCTGGAGATGCGCGTCCTGCCGCAGGAGAGGACGCGGCCTCGCGGGGCTGGTGGCCTGGGCTGATAGAGGTGGCAGAGGAGCCCTTCCACGGCTTAGGCGGGCCCTGCCCGTGTGTCTGCTTCACACAGGTCCCCTGTAAAACACCTGAGTCCCTCGGTGCCCACACTGTGGCCTCCAGAGGGAGCCTTTCCTTTAAAAGGAACTTGAGCCCCGGGAGGAATGGCTGGGAGATGAGCAGGCGGGACCCGGATATCTCGTCCAGTCAGAAGGCAGGGGCACTCACCTGCCCGAGCCCGTTGACCAGAGCCTGGGCACGGGGTGACAGCCGGGAGCACAGCGCGGTGGCTGGCGTCTGCTCAGGGCCTGCAGTCCTGGGGCAGCACACAGCGGCGTGGTTGCCTGGAGGATGCTGAGGAGACAGCTTTTGAGAATCCCCTTGTGGGATTTTTACTTGGATCCTGATTCAGGCAAACTAGTTTAAAAAACTTCATAAGACAGTTGGACACTTGATCACTGATAGGTATTTGTGGTATTAAGGCATTGCTGTTAATTTATTTTAAGAAAATAGTGTTCTCTGATGATGTGCTGAAGTAATTCTGTCTTGGCTGGCCCCAGATGAGAGGTGGTGCTGGTGACTGGCTGGAGTTGATTGTTGTTGGTGCTGAGCAGTGGGTTCCTGGATTTTACACATCACTTCAAACTACTTAGGAACCACAAGGTTTACTTGATAAAAACTCGAAGGAAAAACTAACTTGAATTTGGACCTATGGAGATTTATAAAGAGCAGTTAAAAATTGCCAAGTTTTTTTCCTCTTGTTGTAAAAAAAAAAGGGGGGGGCTACTTATATCTTAATACAAATTGATACAACTTATAAATATGTTTTTCTTTTCTTTTAGGGTATTATAGATCTCTCTATTTGTTAATTAACAGCAAGCTTCCATCAAGTATTGAATATTCTGATTTATCTCGAGTTCCTATAGCAAAAATTTTGCTAGAGAATGTTTTAAAACCATTGCACTTTACTTACAACTCCTGTCCAGAAGGTGCAAGGTGAGAATGGAATCAATTTATTGATTTTGTAATTTCGCAAGATCTGTATCTAACTTTGACACAGGATGCTATCTTAAATATAGACTTGAAAGTCAATTTTGCTCTATTAGTGTGACTCAGTTTAAAGAAAAATGTACTTTTTCTATCTGGCCTGCACCCAACATAAATTTATAATTCTGATGACCTGATTATTTTCTTGCTTTCTAGTATCTATCAGAAGATAGAAAAACATAGCAAAGTTTTCTGTTTTTTTTTTTTTAATAGGAATGATACAGCATTAAGTTCAGAGAGCTCTAGTTAATCTGGGAAACTTAACATTGACAAAAAGGTTATTTTGTGAACAGTGATTTTAATCAGTGGTTTTGTGAACAGCGTGTTTTGATTTGATTACGAGCTTCCGTTTTTCTTCATTAGGCAACAGGTTTTTACAGCCTTCACGAAGGAGGTCCTGGCGGCCCCCTTCACAGAGCAGATCTTCCACTTCGTCATCCCTGCCCTGGCGGACGCACGGACCGTCTTCCCCTACGAGCCCTTCCTGGCTGCGCTGCTGTCCCTGGAGGGCGGACGCTCCACCACCCGCGGGGGGGCACCCTGGCTCTTCTACTTCGTTCTGACTGTTGGTGACAGTTATCTGGGTATGAAACGTAGGATGTCCTGTGAGCCCACGCAGAGGCAGCGTGACTAGATAGCGGGGCGGGGAGGGGCAGGGTGCAAGGCCGGCCGTCCCCTTGTCAGCACAGCACGGCCTCTGGGGGAGGGGCTCCTTGGAAGAGTGCGTTCGCTTAAGACCGTAGCCTGGCTGGTGTCCCCGGTCATAGTGTCCAGGCAGGATAAAAAGTCTGATTTAGCAGGGCCACTCAGATTAAAAAGAATTTGAGTTGAATGGGCCAGTTGCTGTGAGTGCAGGTTCTTTTCCCCCGTTTATGCTAAAGTTCTGGGTTGCCTGGTGTAGCATTTCGGTATCTTTTGCTAATGTATTTGGACACACACATCTGCACGTGAAACACTAGAAACGTAATGTATGTCCTGGTCAGAAATGCCCCTTGGAGTTCAGGAGAGACGACCCCCTGAGGCTTCCAGCTTCTCGCCCCTCCTGACTAACAGCTGTGACTGTCTCACCAAGGCACTCTCTCCGAGGACGGGCTGCTGGCGTACCTGCGAGTCCTCCAGGCCTTCCTTTCCCAGCTGCCCGTGCCACCCGCCAGCGCCAGCTGCCAGGATGTGGCCAGCGACTCCGACGGCGAGGAGGGGGAGGAGGCTGACAGGCAGATGAGCGCTCCGGTGAGCTCCCAGCCGTGCGTCTGGCCTGCACCGCGTTCTGCACGGCCCTCTGGTGTCGGCAGTCACGCCAGCTCTGCGTCCACCCTGTTTCCAGTGAGATGAGCGCGTCAGGCATTCTCATGACCTGCCTGCGCTTTCCATGCCTTTTCCTTGCAGCCACACACAGATGTGTGGGCACACGCGGATTTGCATTTGGTTTTTCAGTATAAAGTAGGATCGCAGTGTATATCAGTTTAGTTTGCTGTTCAGTCGCTAAGTCGTGTAAGACTCTTTGTGACCCCGTGAACCGCAGCATGCCCGGCCTCCCTGTCCATCACCAGCTCCCAGAGTCTACCCAAACTCATGTCCATCGGGTCGGTGATGCCATCCAACCATCTCATCCTCTGTCGTCCCCTTCTCCCTTTGCCTTCAGTCTTTCCCAGCATCAGGGTCTTTTCCAACATAGAGAGATGCAGTTTTATGTTTGGTCGTTCATTGCAAAGTAGGGCTGCTCTGTGTATCAGTTTATTACTCAGGACACCACTCTTCGAGTGAAGCCATTGGGTTAGAAGGTTAAGGTTTACAGGAAGAACACTTACTGTGTGCCAGGCATCATTCCACTCTTATTTGTAAGAATTTTTAGCATTTCTCCATCAGCCTGGAAGGGCGTTGCGGTCGAGCCGACGAGAAGAGGAACTACCGTGTTCACTGCTTTGGCAAAACCTCAGATGCGTGGCCTCCTGGCCAAACGTCTGCGATTTCATATTGTTGGAGCATTCATGGTCTCCCTGGGGTTTGCAACTTTCTATAAGTTTGCTGTGGCTCAACGAAGAAAGAAGGCCTATGTAGATTTCTACAGAAATTATGATTCCATGAAAGATTTTGAGGAGCTGAGGAAGGCTGGTATCTTTCAGAGTGCAAAGTGATTTGGAATATAAAGAATTTCTTTGGGCTGAGTTCCATGGGAGTTTGTCACTTTCCTGTGTTCCTGAACTATGAAACTGACTATCTGGGGTGAGAAATAGTCTCTCAATAAATAAACAGTTAACAAATACTGTGGGGAAAAAAAGAATTTTTAAAAATAACAGCTTGATTGAGAAACATTTTACCATAAAATTCACCCTTTTATTTTTACTTTTTTAAATAAATTCTTATCTATTTGTTTGCCTCACAGCTTGTGGATCTTGTGGGATCTTAGTTCCCCGACCAGGAACTGAACCTGTGTCTTCTGCAGTGGAAGTACAGAGTTCTAACCACTGGATCACCAGGAAAGTCCCAGAATGAGCCCATTTAAAGTAATACACTATTCAGTGACTTTTCAGTGTTATGAACATAACTAGGCATCTGTTGCCACTAAGTCTAGAACATTTTCATCATTCCACAGAGAAGCCCCAATCAGGCCCTTTCCTTCTTCTCCCCAGCCCCTAAAAGAAAAGCAAGGTCAAGTTTCCTCTTAACTATCTCTTGAACACTGCAGAACATCTTTTGTCTATTTTCACAGATTTTATAGATGATAAACATTATGATTTACTTTAAAATTCATTTTATGTACACTGTCACATTTTATCTCCAACTTCCCCTTCTCCCACTTCTCACCTAGCACTGTTTTCTGTGTGTTTTCAAGGACTAAAAAGCTTTATGTCACACACACGCTGTTTGTCTTACCTAGGTGGTATAGTCTGCTACTGATGTCTTTTTCTCTTAATTACATGATTCCAATGCCTTGAGGTGTGGCTATACTAGGTTTAAGGGTTTTTTAATTAGAACATGTCTCCTTCATTGGTGCCAAGTCTAGTCCCAGGAAAATACACTTGAGAATATGCCGGGGGGTGGGGGCTCGGGGCGTGGAGTTGAAGGGCTCAGGGCTCCCTTAGCAGAGAGGAAGCCTGCCCAGCAGGAGGATGGGGGACAGCTGGTGTGGCCAGGGCTTAGGCCAGGCCACGGCTTGTTACAAAGGGCAAAACAGAGGGTTTTGGTGGGTGCTGGAACTCTTGCCACATCTTGTTAAAACTCAGATGCAAAAAAAGAGTGAATTGTATGGTCAAAAAAAAAAAGTAAGATCTGATAAATGAAAAGTAGATAAAGCCTTTGTTTTCAGAAGATAGTTTGTTCATACTTTACTTCTAGAGACTCTGTGACATTTAAATATTATCTGTGTAGGCATACCTCATTTTATAATACTTCTCAGATACTCTGTTTTTTATATGTTAAAAGTTTTTGGCAATTCTGTGTTGTCAGATGATGGTGAGCATTTTTAGCAATGAAACATTTTTTAATTAAGGTAGGTGCATTGTTTTATTAGACATTGCCATCACATTATGCACTTAATAGGCTACAATAGAGAATAAACACAATTTTCACATGCACTGGTAAACCAGGAAGTTCATATGACTCCCTTTATTTCGATGTTCGCTTTGTTGTGGTGATCTGGAGCCACCCCTGAACTATCTCCACTGTGTGCCGCTACACAATATAATTTGTCCCTAAGTGGTGAAAAAGGAGAATGAGAAAGCTGGCTTAAAACATTCAAAAAACAAAGATCATGGCACCCGGTCCCATCACTTCATGGCAAATACATGGGGGAAAAGTGGAAATAGTGACAGATTTTATTTTCTTGGGCTCCAAAATCACTGCAGACAGTGACTGCAGCCATGAAATTAAGACACTTGCTCCTTGGAAGAAAAGCTGTGACCAACGTAGACAGCATATTGAAGAGCAGAGACACCAGTTTGTTGACAAGGGTCTGCTAGTCAAAGCTACTGGTTTTTCAAGTAGTCATATACAGATGTGAGAGTTGGACCATAAAGTAGGCTGAGTGCTAAAGAATTGATGCTTTTGAACTGTGATGTTGGAAAAGACTCTTGAGAGTTCCTTGGACAGCAAGAAGATGAAACCAGTTATTTCTAAAGGAAATCAGTCCTGAATATTCATTAAAGGAGTGATGCTGAAGCTGAAGCTCCAACACTTTGGAAGAGCTGAGTCATTGGAAAAGACCCTGATGCTAGGAAAGATTGAAGGCAAAAGGAGAAGGGGACGACAGAGGATGAGATGGTTGGATGGCATCACCGACTGAATGGACATGAGTCTGAGCAAACTCTGGGAGATGGTGAAGGACAGGGAAGCCTGACGTGCTGCAGTCCATGGGGTCGCAGAGTCAGACATGACTGAGTGAACAGCAACAGCAAAGTGAAGATACATATGTATGAGATACATCCTTCATACAGGGTTTTATTTGGTACATTTTTACAGATTACATGAATTACGTTCATCGAGGTTTCCAAAGAGTCAGTCAGCAATACCCAAAACTGTGTATATAGTCATATATTATTTGCTCATATATATGTATGTATATGTGCATACACATATGAGAAAAACATATCTTTCATTAACAGATAGGTAAACTTCATTGAGCATTAGCTCAGATTTTAGTCAGTGTATCAGATATTCTAGAGAAGATACAAAATGACAGGTTTATGTATTTCTTTTGGTTTTTTCTTAAGTTTTTAAATATTTACTTAAACTGTGATATCTAAAGTAATTTAAAGTGGAAATTTTGCCGGATGATAATCCGTGTTCGCGCAGGTGTGCTTAGTCTAGAGCAGTCTGAACACTGTGGAGTGAGCCTGAGGTCAGCGTGAGGACTGCGAGCTCCGTCAGTCCCCCGGCAGCAGCTGCGTGACGGTGTCCCCGCTCCACAGGCAGAGGGGCCCGCCGCAGGGGGTGCCTTCGGGTCTGCAGGGGATGGGGGAGGCCTTCGGTGCCCGACTTAGAGACGCTGATGTTGTTGGTTGCGATGCGGATAACCTTTAGATGACACCTCTCTGAGCGTCGAGCTGAGCTCTGCCAGGACGTGGCTAACGGAGGGGCCCCTCTGCCTTTCAGGAGGACGGGCGGCTGTCGGCGCTCTGCGTCGCCGAGGAGTGTCTGAAGAAGCTGGACACGAAGCAGCAGACCAACACCCTGCTGAGCCTGGTGTGGAGGGACTCGGCCAGCGAGGAGGCCTTCACGCTGATGGCGGCCATCTGCCACACGCTCATGGTGCAGCACCGCGTCATGGTGCCCCGGGCCAGGCGAGTGCTGCGGCCTTGGCCTCGGGCCTTGGGCTCCCTTCCCTGTGGGGGGTGCAGGCATGCCCCAGGCCGGTGTGAGGGAGCCCGCTTTTCTCTGCGGGCTGTGTCATGGCTCGGTCCGTCAGATTGCCCGTGACGGTTGACTGTGGTACCTGAGGGATGGAGTGAACATGGAAGTTTAAATGTGGCCGGTGGATGTGACGGTGACTTTCGGCTCCCCTCTCCCTGCGCTCTGAGTGGTAGCCGAGCAGTTGCCTAGACTGCAGCAGACACGTGCTCAGGGCAGGACGTGAGAGTGGATGCGGATGTGGCGGGGCCACCAGCAGCTGCAGGCGCATGGGGCGTGTGTCCCTGGCGGCCCGGAGAGCCCCCTCCTCTTGTGAAGTGCTGCTGCTTTGGCTAGGAAAGCATTCTTGGACATGAACGGTGTGCAGGGAACACTCGGCCGCCCACCTTGTAAACAGTCGTGCAGCCAGCTCATTAGGTGCCGTCTTTGCTCGCTGGTGTTTAATACTGTCTGGGGAAGTGAGGCATGGTGAGGCAGTGAGCCCTGGCTGAGCTGATGAGCTCACTGTGGGCTAATTGCATCAGAGCAGATGTGAGATCTGAGGACCTGCAGCCTAAGCAGGCCGCTGCTTTTATTGGAGCTCAAAGTCCATTGCTCTGGGCAGTAATGACTGAACTTAATGTTTCACTGCCCTGGCCTGAGGTTTACTAGGGAACCGCTTAGTACAGCACCTGTTTCCTCTAAGAAAGTACTCTAGGAATTTTATTTGTGGTTTAAATATATTAGGTTCTGAGTATTTAGTGTTTTTCATAGCTCGTAAAAGAGCAGATAGGCTTATTTTGGCTGTTGTAGATGTAGCTGCTCTCAGCTTTTCACGGAGGCATGTAAAAGGCGATCAGTGAGGTCTGGGCTAATGCTCACTCTCAGCGCCTCCCGGGCTCAGTGGTCCCTCCTCTTCAGGGCTGCGGTTTGTGGCTTTGGCTTCTGTTTAACATTGATCGTCAGGAGTCTGAAGGAATTTGGAGGCCCTTTCTACATTGATATGGGAAGCTTTCTAAGATACATGTTTAGGTGAAAAAAAGAAGTTTCAGAACAAGGAGTATTAATGTTTTGTGTCTTAAAGGTGGGAAAAGGTAGAATGTGTATTTGCATAAAGAAACCTGGAAGCATTCACAAGAAATTCATAGATGCGATTAATCATATGTCTGGTTTCGTGGGGGTCGGGGTCGGGGCGAGGAGAGTGGATTTTGAACTGTATACTTTTTAACAGGGTTTTGGGTTTTGAATTATGTGTATTATTTTAGTTTTTAAAGATGAGGTAATTAATGAACCTCAATCTCCTTTTATGAAAGTCTGTCGATCTTACCATTGAACTTGGACATGTGAGTACATTTTTTAATTTAAAAATTGTTTTTCTTTTGAAAGACATATTCACTGACTTTGAATGTGAATGGGCATTCACTTGTTGTGCTGGGGGCGGGGAGAAGGCCGGCTCTCTCCCAGTGTCTCGAGAACTGAGCCTCGCACATGGATACCTCGCAGCCACGGAGGACAGCGGCTAGCAGGCGTTCAGCCTTGCCCTGGCCGACTCTCCTCTGGCTTCACGGGCAGGGGTCTGGTGTTTTAGCCGTGGGTTCGTGCTGCTGGGGGCCGTCCATGGTGCACGAGGGCACCCCGCGCGGTGGTGGGACTCTGAGCCCTGTCTCCCTCTCCACCACGTCCCTGTCCTTGGAGCTGGTGTGTGCATTGCCTGACAGACGCAGGGCTCGCCTGAGTTCCCCTTTGCTCCTGGGCTGCTCCTGCTCACTGCCTTCTGCAGGTTCCTCTTTGTCTGTTTCTGTGTTTCTTCAGCCTTCACCCTCTCCTCATGTTCATTTTCTTAGTTCCTTTCTGCTGCTCTGGGTGGGCTCTCTGGGGGTCTCGTCTACGCTTTCCCAAGCCCCAGACTCGACTTCAGGCCCTTCCCTGGGGCCGTTGTCTCCTTTCACAGTGCCTGAGGTGGAGCTCAGCATCTTCCGTAAAACCTGGGGGTCACGCTGGGGCTGCAGTGTCCCAAGGGTGGCCACTAGTGAAGCGTCACCCCTCCGCATCCCCGGGCACACCAGCCGAGTTGCAGGTGCTCACTGGTCGTGTGCAGCGGGCAGTTGCCATTTTGGGCAGCCCCACGCGGACCGGCTCCCCATCACAGACGCTGGGCGGGCAGTGCTGCCTGGGCGTTCAGGCTGAGAGTCGCACATGTCTCCGTGATTCCATGTGTGCATTCAGTCCCCGTGGTGTGTGAGGGCTGCCAACTTCATGTCATGTGTTACCAGACTGAATCGTCAGAATATGACCCTCGCTATTCCCGTTGTCTTGCTTAAACATCTACTGGTGAATCCTTTTGTTGGGGAAAACTCCCCATTCCTTTGCTGACTGTGGCGTGGTGTCCTTCCCTAAGCCAGTGTGGCTTACCTCTCCAGCTGTGTTTCTCGCTGTGGGAGACTCTGTCCCTGCCTCAGCCAGGCTTCATTACTTCTGTTTGGTCACTTTCCTCTGTGCCTCGCAGGTGTTTCACACCTCTCCCCTTGGCCTGTGCTAGTGTCTGTCCAAAGAGCACTTGCCGCCTCCCTGCGTCTTCCTGCTGCCTTGTCCGTCAGAACCCTGCAGAGGTTGTCACCTTTCAGAGACCCTCCTGGTTTATGTCCTGAGATTTCACCTGTGATTACAGCTCCCAGTGAAATCTTCATTTTACCATAGGGTCTCCCTTTTAGAGAGCTGATTTTAAGGAGTTTGGGTTTATACTTAAGGTGCGCAGAAGAGCATATTCTTGGGGGCTCTTTTGTTTCATTAACATCTAAAGACTTTGAAATGGAATTTTAAAGATAATGTTTTAAGGGTCATGGCCTCCCTGGTAGCTCAGATGGTAAGGATATCTGCCTGCAATTTGGGAGACTTGGGTTCGATCCCTGGGTCAGGAAGATCCCCTGGACAAGGAAATGGCAACCCGCTCCAGTACTCTTGCCTGGAGAATCCCATGGATGGAGGAGCCTGGTAGACTACAGTCCATGGGGTCGCAAAGGGTCGGACACAACTGAGCGACCAACACTTTAAGGATCAGAGAGGTTGATGTGACCATTCTCCTCTGGTTTTCTTGTTCATAAATCATAAGCCATTAGAATTAGTTTTATTGTATCCTGTGCTTAATTTTTCTACCAGAAATTAGAACAAGCCAGCCTAATTGTGTCTTACGTTATTAATCACTGATTTAGGCAGTTGTGTGCACTATTTCCTTGTCTGTTCTCTAAACACTACTAATGTGGTCACTCTTTGTCACTAATGTGGACACTCTTTAGCTCTTGATTTATAGATTAGCTCTTGATTATAGAATCATATTTTTAATAATTTGAGATAGAATGATTATGCAAATGACTTCAGAGGAGAAGAATACAAATTTGTGTTTCGTGTATGTTCCAGAAGTAGTCTACACTGTTCATGTGTTTGTAAACAAATTTTTATAGGATTTAGAACCAATACTGAGAATATACCTACAGAGGGAAACAATTTTTTTGGGGGGTGGCTGTGATTTCATGTTTACTTTTATTATCAATGATATTTTCAATATAAATGATAGATTTAAGGAGCTGTTTGATTATTGTTATAACTTGTTACAAAGATCACATAAAATTTGTGAACTTTTTAACATTTCAGTACAGAATGATTTTATTGTCTATCTTGAACTCATATTTAGATTATAAATGAATTGGCAGCAGTTACTGTTGGAAATATCAAATTAATAAACTAGGCCTGCTTTAGTCAAATTTAGGAATATAATTTATGTGAGTTTTGAAACATCTTATAATTTTCTAAATGATTTTGACTGACATTTCACAGGAAATACAAGTTAACTTGGAAAAGCATACACAAAGCCTATTTAAAAGTTTCTTTGTTTCAAGTTTCCTTGTAAGAAAAGCAAGGGAGGGGATTATACAAGAAGCTATGTAAAAGGTAACAGTGGTGCTTCTGCTGTCTCTCTTTAAACTGCAGTACAAGTGAAGGTACATTTCTTCAGTCTGTTTATCTTGAGCGGAAAGTTTGAAGGAGCCTCCTCGTCAGGGAGAGGGAGCTGTCTGTTTAGACTGTTGTGGTGTTGGTGCTGGGACGTTAACAGAGCACAGCTCTATGTCGAAGCTGATCTTCTGTCCTTAGTTCCCGGTTTGTCTGTGAAGGAAAGATGTTTTATCAGGTTGCCTCAAACTGAAATTCATCTTAAAACTTTTATTATCATTCAGGAAATTGGAGTTTATTTTTATCTTGCCTTATCTCACAGATGAAATTTATATATGTATTTTCGTATTGATTTTGCCAAAAAAGCCATCGTTTGAGCAGGAAGACACAAAGGTCACATTTGCGCCTGTGGCTGCAGGAGGGGGCTGGTCCTTGGGCGGCTGGCCTGCCATGCTTCTCTCACCTGTGACACCCTTACACACGGGAGGTCTCTGAGAACGCCTTGCTGTCGTGACCTTTACTGCCTGTGTGTGAGCAGGAGTCTTCCACTGTGTTCTCTTTCATAACTTAAATCGTCCTTGCAGACAGGCCGCTCTGAATTTATGACCTGGGTTGGAAATGTTGCCCTTTACTAATTAACTCATAGTGTTGTCTCGGCTAAATAAAGCTTAATGCGTAGTTTAAACTATATCCCAGTGTATGTAAAGCATATGTCACTTCCTCACCTTTTGGCAGTCAAGTCCCAAGTAACATTAACTTACAGAAAAAGGTTTAATAATTTGTGTTTTTATTGCCTATTGAGTTATTAATTTAGAAACTGTTTCAGAATGTTGACTTAAGTATAACTTTTGAAATGCATGTGTGTACTCATGTGGAAAGGTGTTAATACAACCCTGGGTGAAAGGCTGTGTTAGGGGAGGGTGTGTTGGGAGGACCCACTTTTGTCTGCTTCTGTCCGTATGTCTGGGCGATTGACTCCGAGATACTAACTCTGACTACTTCTGGGAAGATGGGTGAAAGGCTGCGAAGACCTTGTCTCTCGTGTTGCTGCTGTTAAGAAGAAAGAATAGAGGACGTGCCTCCTTACAGCAGTCATTCCTGGGATCTCTGAGGAGCTAAGACATCATATCAGTGAAGTTATACTAGATAGTACATTCTTTCACAGAGACCTCAGTTTCTTGATTAAAGACAAATAAGGCAAGCAGGACCACCTTGAATTCTTTTATGTTGAAAGTTCATGGTTTTCATAGCTTTGTTTCTCTTGTTTTCCACGGTTTGTTTAATTGATCTCCTATTGTGTTCTTTCCATTTTTCATTATTCCAGTAATTCTTATTTTTTAATTTCTCAACTGAATAAAGCAGTGTAGTGCCAATACCATTTGTAAGTATGTACTCAGGGCAGGTATAACTCACTTTTGTAGACTCATCATATTTTTAAGCTGGAAGAGACCTTATCCTTGGTGTGGTCGGATCCCCTCATTCTCTGATGAAAACATTGCTCTGGCCACATGACACTTGAAGAGTGGTTGGGCTGAACAAGCTTTCTAGCCTGAGACTCACGATTCTAGGTACATTTCACATAGTCTTTCATGCTTTCAGTAGTTTTTAAATGATTATCTTTTTTTTAGATGCACTTATTTTTGGCAGCGCTGGGTCTTCGCTGCTGTGAGAGGGCTTCCTCTCTCTTGTGATCTTGGTTGTGGTGCTGGGCTTCTCACTGTGACGGCTTCTCTCATCATGGAGCCCGGGCTGTTGGCCTGCAGGCTCAGGACTTGTGGCCCTCGGGCTTTGTTACGGGATCTTCCGGACCAGGGCTCGAACCTGCGTCCCCTGCATTGGTGGGTGAATTCTTATCCACTGGACCACCAGGGACACTCAGCAATTACGCTTTTAATGTCATTTGGACATCTCAAAAGGCACCATGCTAAAACAGGATTGGATTTTTAAAAACCGGTACTCTGTAACCCCTATTGTATACTTAGGAAATGCTACTGCTGAGGAGTATATCTGATGTTTTTGATTGAATGCAGGAAAATAACCAACTTGAGACTTGAAGAGTGATTTATTTATCTAAACCCCATTCATTTCTCTTCTACTCTGGGCATTTCAACTAATACACTCTTGGCAAAGTTCAGTCTGTTAAAATACTTTTTATTACACTCAGAACAATATTTACAGCAACTGGTAATGAACTCGGTAGAGAATTGTGGATACACATTACATGTTGCTTTTATTTAGATCATCCTGTTACTCTTAATGGCTGGCCTGAGGAAACCCCAGAGCTGGTGGCCTCACTGTTGAGGAGTTAGGGCAGCCTCTGCTGGCTCCTCAGGAGCCTTCGGGATGCTGCTTGCTCTGTCACAAGCTTGCTTGACAACTTGCGTCCAACACCATCTCAGAGGTCTTTTCCACCCTGAAAATCCATTTAAGACTAGATGATATGTACGTTTTCAAAATACAGAATTTTCACTGTTTTCATCCTTAAGTTTTGGTACCAGGCTCGTTCCTCGTGCGTTCTCTGACTCCACCATGAAGGCTTCATCCTCTTTCCTTCTGCTCACTGAGCCAGCTTAGTCTTTGCTCTTCGACTTCATTGTTCTTCTGAGATGATTCTAAAGGCAGATCACATCCCTTTCTTAAAATCATGTTTCCCTGCTCTCCGAAACCTTTTCTTAGTGTGATCAGTCTCTTAAGTTTGAAATTTAATTTCTGAGTCCTGCCTGTCTAAAAATGTGACCGGAAATTAAATCCTATTACAAAAATGCAGTATACTAAGTTAAGCTGATTTAAAATTAAACATGGTTACCCACAAAGCTCCTTAGTCTTTTGATATGCTACAGGAGGGGTTTTTAAAGCCTTTAAAATATATTTTTACATTTAAATTAATTTTGACATGTTAGCATTAAAAAAACACGTTTGCACATTTTTGTGTGCTTGTTTTAAAGATAGGGCATTAAAATCAGTTGCTAAATGTTAATGTGCATTAGTAATATTAATGATAGATAGTACTGCAGTATATTACTGTATTGTGATATGTCCTGAGGGGCGGCACACTCAGGTGTGCGTTTGAAGGGCACGCCCAGCTCGCTCTGGGGTCGGTCTCATGGGCGCAGCTTGGGGCTGGCTTAGCGCTATAGCAGTGAAGACAGGGCCCCAGCAGTCGGGGTACTCGGGGTGTTCTCAGCTGTTTGGGGCAGCCCGCCGTGAGAGGTGTCAGTGCAGTTACTTTCTCAGCTGTGCATTGTCTTCTGTTTGTCACTTTTCTCTTTTTGAAGAAATACATTGAATGACAATTTGCTAACTCGTACTTGTTTCCCCGTTCCTCTTTAGGCTTCTCTACAGCTTAGCCTTCAACGCCAGGTTTCTGAGACACCTCTGGTCTCTCATCTCCTCTATGACGACGCAGATGATCACAGGGTAGGTGTTACCAGGCTGGCATGTTGAGCTTAGGGACGTGGGGCGCGGCCACCAAGTAAAAAGCACTGCAAGGAGCCGTTTTAAGTACTGCTTATTCCACCTTATTTCATTAGGAAAAAAGTCTAGATGGTCTCAGTTTCACAAAACGGAAAAATTAATGCCTAATCTGTGTATATTATTAAGTGTATGGCTTTATCTGAGGGTAAATTTGTTTTAAAAACCATAAGTTGGAACTTCCCTGGGGTCTGGTGGTCAAGACTCTGAGCTTCCACTGTAGGTGGTGCAGGTGGGATCCCTGGTCAGGGAACTAAGACCCTGATGCTGCATGGTGTGGCCACAAAAAAAAATCCTAGTCATTTTTTGGAAACGAGAAACTCGACATTTCTTTGCTCCATATGTCTTTTCTATGCTTTTGGTTGTGAAGATACAGACCTGAAGCAAATTTACCAGCATTACAAACATTAAAACATATAAAATATTATAAAAATTGGTTTCTAAACCTCTTTGTTGAAATAATTTGATTTTTATACATGAAGCCTTGTGTAACTTGCAGGCTAGAATCTTTAAAGTACGTATTTACTGAATGTGTGTAATATATTTACTGAATGTGTGTAATATGTCAAGAATTCACTCGATTCTCAGAAACCCTTCATGGTAAGCAGACGGATGCCATTGCCATGCTGAATTTCTCTGTCAGAGCTCTGTCCTCTGTGGGGTAGTGTGAGAACAAGTGTGAGCTCAGTTTTCAGAGACTCGGCTTCCCAGACGCACTTGCCTGTGGTGGTCACTGCCGGAGATCCTGCCTGCAGCCGCCAGCCTGCCTCCCCCAGCCGCAGGACAGGCTTTTGGCGGGAGGGGACCCGAGACAGGAAGCCGTGTTGGAGTCTGGGGTGCCCGGCACTGCGCTCTGTGACCGCCACCTGCACCGTGCTCTCTGGGTTGGAGCTTGTCGGTGTGGAGGGTGGAAGAGCGCCTGTGGGTGGTCCCCCGCCGGCCTTGTGCCAGGAAGCCTCCGAGAGGGACTGGCAGGCGCTCGTAGCAGAGGCTGAGGTGCTTTCATGTGATTTTAGCACATCTTTGTGAGTGGGGGGTTCTGAGTGGCCGCGCTGCAGCTGGTGGAACTCGGAGCGGCGAGGCCCTGCACCCCAGAGCAGCAGCAGGGACGTGGGAGAAGTGGGTGCCAGTCCAGAGCACGTCTTCTGTGTCCTTTCATTTTCAAATTACAGCGAGCGGCCTCTGGTTTCTTTGCATGTGTGTGTTTCAGCCGCTGGTGGCTGTGCCCACCTTGGCGTTGGTGAGCGACAGATTTGTTTAGGTAAGAGAGCCTGGGGATCACTGGGGCATAAGTTATCATCGCCCTGCAGGTGTCTTAGCTTAGCAACAGAAGCCCCATCCCCGCCGTGCCTGCCTGTTTGTTGCCTGTTTGTTCCCGGCACTGGTCTCCCACGGGGGAGGGAGCCACACTGTGTGCAAGTGTTCCCATCAAGGCAGTGTTGATTTTATTAAATTATTAGCGTTATAAGTCAGCGAAGTTAAACACATTTTACTCGTATGATTTATTCAAGTCCCACGAGAAACTTACAGTGTATTTTAACACCCTCCTAGTGTGTGTCTCATCATGTTTATTGTCAGAATAAATGAAGGTAAAGTGCCTTATTCCCCTGAAAACAGCACGAAGGGTATTTTGAAAGTAGTTTGGAAGCAGGGCTTACACAGCTGGGACTCCTGAGCTTTGGCAAGCACGAGGCTAATCGGGAGCCTGTCCAGGTGTGAACTCCTGGTCCCCACCTGCCTTGGTCTTGGAGCGCACCGGCTCCTCGGTGGTTGGGGTGCAGGTGCAGCTGATGGGGCCAGAACCCAGCCTGTCATGGGCCTGTGCGTCAAGGCTGGCCTGCTTCATCATTGTCTTTAACTCAACGGGGACTGTTTTGATTACATCCTGCCCGTGTCTTTTCTCATTGACTGCAACTGCTAGTAGTACTACATTAGTCCTCTTAAAGCTTTTCAAGACAAGAACGCATTCTCTGAAAGCTTCTAGAGAAGATGAGAAGCTCTGTCAGTTCAGGGGGTGGGGGCAGTTGCCAAAGAGTTTCCCCTGTGGAGACCCTTATTCTGGGGGTGCCTGCAGAAGGGAGGGCTTGTCTGACGTCTTGTTGATGCTGCTGGTCCAACCAGCTCTCCCAGTCATGAGACAGTGTCTTTTCCTTTCATTGTAGTAAATTATGGACTTTTTATTTGCTCAAGGAGATCAAACCAGTCAGTCCTAGAAGAAATCAACCCTGAATATTCATTGGAAGGACGGATGCTGAAGCTGAAGCTCCAGTACTTTGGCCACCTGATGCGAAGAGCTGACTCATTGTAATAGACCCTGATGCTGGGAACATTTGAGGGCAGGAGCAGAAGGGGATGACAGAGGATGAGATGATTGGATGGCATCCCCAACTCAATGGACATGAGTTTGCCAAGCTCCAGGAGATAGTGAAGGACAGGAAAGCCTGGTGTGCTGCAGTCCATGGGGTTGAAAAGAGTTGGACATGACTGAGCAACAAGTCTTTGAGATGGACCTGTTTTCAGAGAAATATTTGAGTCGGTGTTAATGGCAGAAAGAATGGTCAGCAGAGAGTCGAGAGACAATATTCATGTCCGTCCTGGTTGGTTAAGACCACAGGCACATAACTGACCATTCTTGCCAGTCACCTTTCTGTTCAGGTGAACTGATCTCATGGGGGTTAAAGAGAACAAGTGAACTAACGTTGAATGCTTGCCCCCCATCTTGTTTTCGGGAAGCAGTCTAAGAGTTTTGTGCATCCTGGCACATGAGTGCGTGGCGGGCGATAAGGATTTCAAGTGCAAGTGTTGTCAACAGGGGCACAGCTGAGCAGTTAATCACACGTTTAGATTCAGGACATGCTCTGTCCACTGGCAGCCGGTCAGCCCGACTTGTCCCGTGTTCCCCTCAGTATCATCTGTCGGCATTTACAGTTTCTGTGCTTCTGCAGTTAGTGACGAGGGAGCTAAAAGATAGAAACCGTTGGCTTCACTCAGCAAAACAAACAGCATGACGCCTTTCTTCCTCTGCTCTGCAGGTGGCACAGGACTGGGCTGGGTGGGTGACTCGGCGGCGGGGCGGGGGCCCCTCGCTCTCGGGGCCTGGCCTTGCTCAGGGCGCACAGCCTTTTCCTCGTGGGACTGAGGCCCGAGGCGAGGAGGGCTGGGGCAGGTGACAGGGTGGCTGTGCTGGTCCCTCTGTGCGTGTGCTCTCGCTGCGCTTACATTGTGGGCGGGTGGCTTCCCTTGGCGGGTTGCTCTGCACCGAGCGCCGCTGCATGTCTGGGCTGTGTTTCTGCCCAACCGGGCCCCTGTGTGAGCGCTGGAGCGGGCCTGCTGGAGACCTGGGGATGGTGGCAGCGCTGGTGGCGGGCCAGCCCCTGGAGAGCCGCGCCTTGCCTCCTAGACGGGAGTGGCTGTGTGGGACTGAGGCCCGAGGAGAGGCGGGATGCAGCAGGTGACAGCCGGCTGGCCCGGGACTGGATGGGTGTGCGCTGAAGACCGGGGAAGCTGTGTGAGCCAGTGTTCCGTGGGGTAAGGGTGAGCGCCCCAGCTCTCAAAGGGGGCCAGCCCACCTAGAGCTGCCCCGGGCCACGGGTCTCCTACCAGGGAGCGCAGTTGCAGGTCTGGTGAGTGGAGGCACGGCCCAGGACTGACGGAGTGATGGTCTGCAGCTTCGTCTCTGGGAACTGCCTCCAGTGTTCTCAGTCTAAGCGCCTGGACAAACTTTTCCTGAGAGCAGAGCCGTCTGCCTTTGTAGACAGAACGGGGTTCAGCATAAGAAGTAGAGTGTGTGTCCTGAGGAGTGCTACCGCAGATGCTGACTGCCCTTCCAGGAACCCTTGGGGCCTCAGCTCACTCTCAAACAGCTAGCTCTATCCGGTGGAGAATCACAGGGGGGACATTAGTAAAGAGTGGGGGCTTGGTGTCCTGTTCTTTAATTTACGTTATTTATTAACCTGTGTTGTTAGAGTGACTTTGCCTCCCCTCTCGGTCTTTGAATTGCTAATGCAAAGGTTATTTTCCCTGATTATATTTGTCTGATGTCATGTCTTAATTTGTTCCCAAACTCAGCCATTGTGTTTTTTTCTCCTTTCTCCCAATTCAAGGTCTATGGTACCATTGCTTCAGGTGATATCAAGGGGCTCACCTATGTCTTTTGAAGATTCCAGTAGAATCATCCCACTCTTTTACCTGTTCAGCTCCTTGTTCAGTCACTCACTGATTTCCATACATGACAATGAATTCTTCGGAGACCCCATAGAAGGTGAGAATTCTGAGCAATCCACTTGTTGCTGACCTCATGCTGTGTCCATTTCCATAGACGATAGGAAAGTTTTAAGCCTTTTAAGTCTTTGCGTGTGTAAGAGATGGGGAGGGAAGCCCAAATATAATAGGAAATTGGATTATGTTTTTCAGTTGTAGGTCAAAGACAATCGTCAATGATGCCTTTTACTTTAGAAGAGCTGGTAGTGTTGTCTCGATGCCTTCGAGACGCGTGCTTAGGGATCATCAAACTGGCATACCCAGAGACAAAGCCAGAAGTTCGAGAAGAATATATCACCGCCTTTCAAAGTATTGGAGCAACTACCAGTTCTGAAATGCAGCAGTGTATACAGATGGAGCAGAAGCGATGGATTCAGTTATTTAAGGTAATGAGTGTATGAATATTTTTGTTTACTGAGGTAAAATAACGTACAGATTTATTTTTTGATGACTCCTTTTAGAAGGCTAGAGTTACAGGTTTGTTTCCGGCTTGATTGTTAATTTGCAAAACTTGTAAGAAAAGTCGTCTTCATTTTATATTTGTCTCCTTTTAAAGTCTTGTTTTTACATTGTTAAATATATCTTTTATAGCTTGCCCCAAGTACTTTCAATGACAAGGTGATGTATAATTAAAATTTTTTTTTATTTTTCACTAAAAGATCTCTTATGAGTTTTATTTATTTAATCTTAAGAAATTGATTAACAAAGGTGGAATAAGATCATTAACTTAATGCAAGTTGAATATAAGTTATTTTAAAATACCTTCATTTTTAACCGTGCAGAAAGAGAAGTTATGAGTTACTGTGGCCGAATTGTTGGCAAGAAACCACCACCACTGAGAGAATACAACTACTGGGGTAGAAAAAAAGAAAAGAAAAAGGGTGCTTGACTTCCCATGAAATTTCTGCAGCAAACACATCTCGTCAGCTAAAATCGCTCATTAAAGGAGTGAGAGCAGAAGAAATGCATTTTCCAAATTGAATGCTAGATTTACAGTCCGTTTAGTACCAGCGACCTCTCGCACACTAATGTTCAGTTGGAGTCATCAGCTGTCCCTTCAGGTCTTTTATCACTGGTTTTGTCAAGCTATCTATTTAATTGAAAGAAGTTAATTGAATGAAAATGATCAACTAAGCTTGTATTAATATTGCTAATGGAACTTTCTTCTTGGCCATGTTTGGAGAAAGATGTCAAGCTAGACTTTAGGAAAGGCCCATTAATGCTTGCACTTAACCTGATGGGCTAATTAAGGACTGCTTATTCATCCTGCGAGCCCACGATGGGCTCTGTGCAGCCCGTTCTGCCTGGTTTTACAACACATTTCACTTCTGAGCACAAGCATTAGTAGCAGTGAGAGTAACTGATAATGTTTTGATTGCACTGAATACAGTACTAATGCATCATTGAATTTATAATATGTGCGGATTGATGTGATATATATTTGCACAATTTATTTTAATTACCTGTCTCTATATTCCTAAGTAAACTTTTAAGGTCACATGTTGAGCCCTTAATATATCCTTGCTTAAAGACTAACACTTTTGCATCTTTTCTGAGTTAAAAATAAGCTGTGTCACCCATTTAAAACTTGTAATTCTTGTGTAAGCTTTTCCTGGATGTGGCTGTTAATGGTAGCATATGTTTTTCTTTGAAGGATCTAATTAAACTCTGGGATCTTTGTTAGTAAAACTTTCCATTATGCATGTTATCAGGTTTTGTGTACAGTATCAGATAAGTTCATTCTTTTATAGCACCTATTTACAGTTTTGTAATTTTCATGAACCAGGCTTATCTTTAGCACCCAGAACCTTCTGGATTTAATTATGCTGTATTAAGATGTTTTTCCCCGGTCTTGCTTTATTTTGCATAAGCATTAAGTGAAAATTTTGTAGTGAATTTGTTCTTAGGCCTCAGAATAGTTCATTACTACTTTATTAAGGATTGAAGGGTTTTTGTTTGTTTTAAAAATTAGCGTGAACGTTCACCTTTTCTGAAACAGGGTTGTCTTTAGGTTTCAAATTGAGATATGAAGATCTGAAATTAGAGCAGACTTGTTTGAAGACAAGTTTTTGAATAAGATTCCTCTTCTTTGTAAAGATTTTGTTGTTGTTCTGCCTGCTGTTAAACTAAGCCCACCCCCCGCAAAAAAAGAAAAAAATCAAGGCACGATCTTTGAACAGATTCAGCTGATATTAGTTATTTTCTTTTAAGAATTTAAGTCTCAGTGGTTGCTGTCTCAGACAGCATTCTGAGGACTTTACAGGGACCAGTCCACGCGAGCGGTAGTTCTGTGAGGAGGGCGCTGCAGGGGTCCCGTCTTACAGCCGGGGACACACAGCCTGGGGCTGGCGGAGCCAGCATGCGCACTGTGCTGCTCCTCTCCACCGCCCCCTGGGAAGTGTGCAGATGACAGTTTAGTGTTTTCTGTATGTTTCAGTGTCGCATTAAGGTGAAGAATTCAAGGAATAGAATCCACCAAAGAAAGCAGTAGCATTTTGCAGTGATTGCCTGCATTCTGCTGATTTTGACAGCTGCACATGAGGAGACCTGGCTCCTCCAGCCACCAGCCATTTTCATTTTTTAGCTCCTGATGGTCCTCCCAGACCAGTTTCCGAGAGGGTCTCTCTGGGCTGGTCACAGAACAGGCTTCTAAGTGGATGGAGTCATCCTTCTTTGTCACTGTAGGAACTGAGGTCGGTTCTGAGCCCCGCACTGACACTGCTAAAACAGTTTGTGCATTTATCAAATTTATCCGCTCCTCTCAGAGTGTAATTTACAGCTGTAACTGCGTTAGCCCTGGGAGGCGACAGGAACTCCCGTTTGATGTGCCTTTGTGAGCAGCTGCCGGGCTGCGCTGGGGTTACTCCTTGGGGGGAAGGTGTGCAGGAACCTGCTTGCTTACTGCGCTTGTCTGTGCTCAGAGGGGTGGGAGAGGAGGAGCTTTCCCCTCCCTGGTGGTTGATTTGGATTTTTCAGTGTCAAAAACACTCCTTAAAAAGTAAAAACAGAAAACCACAGCAGTGCCCTAGCTGTGATTGAACCGCGCTACCATTATCCATCAGTGTTGACCAGTGAGGCAGGTCCAGGCTTCCTCTAAGGTGGCCGAGCTGCCTGCCATGTGTTTCTCTGTCTTTCAAAGTTTTTTTTGGCTTTGGTTTTGCCTCCTCAATAAAGTGGATACCTTATGAAGTAATTTTGTAGTGTTTTAAACATGCTGGAGAATACTGATAACTAACGGCTCTATAAAATTAGGTTAGCCATCGACAGCAGGAATCCATATCAAATACTTAAGGACTTTTATAGACTGGGGTATCATTACTGTCAATTATTTTAAACACCCACGGTGTTTATCCCAGGAACCCTGGCTCTGCCCTGTGCTGGGGAACCATGAATGAGATCGAACAGAGTCCCTGTTCTTTGAGCATCACTACAAAAGGAAAGAGACTCAGCAGCACAGCTAAGAGCATGCAGGACAGGCACAGAGCTGCTGAAGTCATTCTGAGCTTAGGATTACAAGGGGGAAATCATTCTGGCCTTCTGTGAGAGAATAATCTTAGAGCTGGTACTTTACTGATTTTTCTTGTACTTCCTTTTCACATACTCTTCATTGGGAAATCGAAATCTAAAAAACTCTTTATTGTATATTAATCACATCACACATTTACCACAGTTAGGTACCCGTAAATTATGTGCCTTGTCCTGATGTTTGTTTTAAAGTTTTAAGGCAATACCTAAGATAATTTGATTTTGCCTACTACATTTAAGATAAAAGATTATTACAGGTACCTTTACAATTTTGGAATATATATGCTTTTCTTTGGTTGCACTAATAAAGTTATATGTCAGTTATATGTCAGTGGTCTCCACTCAGAAATATCATAGTTGAGCATTCATAGCTTTAAGTTCTCATCAGATACATTATTTATGTGTGTGAATTTTCTTATATGATGTAAAATATGTAATGCTTAAGGCTATTTCCCTAAGGTCATTAGACAAGATTTTCTTGTGATCTTGATAGCCAGTGGACTTTGAAACATACAGTAATCTTGTGAAACAGTGCTTGTCAGATTAAAACCGTGAGCTTGGACAGTAGTCAGGTGTGACTTTTATGAGACATCTGTGTGTCTCTAACCAGTTCTCTGCTTGGTCTTTTAACACTGGGTTTAAGGGAAACCTGCTCCTGGGTGTCACTGTTTGGTTTCCCAGCTCCCTAACAAGGGAGTGGACCCAGGGCCCTCAGCAGTGACAGCACAGAGTCCTGGCCCCCAGACCACCAGGGAGTACCTTTGTTTTTAATTTCAGCGGCATGTAATCAGACATGTAACAGTTTAGTGCATTTCTGAATATTTGCTTAAATAGTCTTGGTAGTTCTCAAGTGTTTATTTAAGGTTTAGCTCCAGCGCAGAAGAGTACGATGTGGGAGCTGAGTAAAACACATGGCATAAACACGAAAAGACACATTTATAACTGCTAAAAGTCTGCTAAAACTGTGTATTGAGCTGGTACATCTTAGTCATCCTGGTGTTTGCTTGTTTGTTATCTTTGTTCATATTTCGTAACACACTGGTTCTCGGGTCTTACTGTCTCAGGATCTCCTCAGGATCGGTTGACAGCTGTTGACTGGAGTTAGAGTTGCTGCTGGTGGTGCCTTTTACAGGTGATTGTCAGCCGGAGGCTCCAGGCCGGGGTGCAGTCAGTCCCCATGGGGCAGTCGTCAGTGACCTCGTGTCTCAGTGTGCAGACTTGCACCCCAGTGACTGAAGCCCTGTTTAAATCTAAAACCTTGCCAGTCTCTCGGTGTCCATACTGTCTTGTGTAGTAGGCTTATCTGCGCCAGGAAGTCTGATAAAATTAACTGAGAGGAAAACTGTCTTTTTGATCTCAGCACTGGGTGTGTGTTGATCCAGGTTAAAACTGTTACTCCAGTCTTCATTGCCTTTGACACTTTCATCACTTCATGTGGTTTTTTGATGGTTACTTCTGTGAGCTTTGGTTTTCCAGTACTAAATATTTCTAGCAGCTTGTGGTACTAAAAATGAATGTACAGAAAGGGAGTATGTTTAAAGGTGTTTTGAAATCACAGAATTTGAGTAGTGTCTGACTCTTTGCGACCCCATGGACTGCACCACACCAGGCCTCCCTGTTCATCACCATCTCCCGGAGCTTCCTCAAACTCATGTCCATTGAGTCTGTGATGCCATCCAACCATCTCATCCTCTGTCGTCCCCTTCTCCTCCTGCCCTCAATCTTTCCCAGCATCAGGGTCTTTTCCAGTGAGTGGCTGTTCGCATCAGGTGGCCAGAGTATTGGAGCTTCAGCTTTAGCGTTAGTCCTCCCAATGAATATTCAGGGTTGGTTTCATTTCGGATGGACTGGTTGGATCTCCTTGCAGTCCAAGGGATTCTCAAGAGTCTTCTCCAGCACAATTCGAAAGCATCAGTTCTTCAGCCCTCAGCTTTCATTATGGTCCAACTCTCACATCCATACATGACCACTAGAAGAATCATAGCTTTGACTGTATGGCTTTGTTGGCAAAGTCATGTCTCTGCTTTTTAATACACTGTCTAGGTTTGTCATAACTTTTCTTCCAAGGAGCAAGCATCTTTTAATTTCATGGCTGCAGTCACCCTCCACAGTGATTTTGGAGGCCAGAAAAATAAAATGCATTGCTGTTTCCACTTTCTCCCCCATCTATTTGCCATGAAGTGATGGGACCAGATGCCATGATCTTCGTTGTTGAATGTTGAGTTTTAAGCCAGCTTTTCACTCTCCTCTTTCTCCCTCTTCAAGAGGGAGTTCCTCTTCGCTTTTTGTCATTAGAGTGGTATCATCTGCATATCTAAAGTTGTTATTTTTCCCGGCAGTCTTCCAGCCCGGCATTTCACATGATGTACTCTGCATATAAGCTAAATAAGCAGGGTGACAATATACATCCTTGATGTACTTGTTTCCCAGTTTTGAACAAGTCCATTGTTCCATGTTCAGTTCTAACTGTTGCTTCTTGACTTGCTTACAGGTTTCTTAGGAGGCAGGTAAGGTGGTCTGATATTCTCATCTCTTAAGAATATTCCATAGTTGTGATCCACACAGTCAGAGGCTTTAGCTGAAGCAGATGCAGATGTTTTTCTGGATTCTCTTGCTTTATCTGATCCAACAGATGTTGGCAATTTGAACTCTAGTTCCTCTGCCTTTTTAAAATCCAGCTTGTACATCTGGAATTTCTCAGTTCATGTACTGCTGAGGCCTAGTTTGAAGGATTTTGAGCTTTACTTTGCTAGCATATGGGCTTCCTTGGTGGCTCAGTGGTAAAGAATCCGCCTGCAGTGCAGGAGACCTGAATTCAGCCCCTGGGTTGGATGGATCCCCTGGAGAAGAGAATGGTAACCACTCCAGTATTCTTGCCTGGAGAGTTCCGTGGACAGAAGAGCCTCGCAGGCTACAGTCCATGGGGTAACAAAGAGTCGGACAGCATTGAGTGACTAGCACTTTGCTGTCATGTGAAATGAGTGCAATTGTCCGGTAGTTTGAACATTCTTTGGCATTGCCTTTCTTTGGGATTGGAATGAAAACTGACCTTTTCCTGTCCTGTGGCCACTGTGGTGTTTTCCAAATTTGCTGGCATATTGAGTGCAGCACTTTCAGAGCATCATCTTTTAGGATTTCAAATAGCTCACCTGAAATTCCATCACCTCCACTAGCTTTGTTCGTAGTGATGCTTCCTAATGCCCACTTGACTTCGCACTCCAGGATGTCTGGCTCTAGGTGAGTGATCACACACACACCGTCGTGGTTATCCGGGTCAATGAGATCTTTTTTGTGTAGTTCTTCTGTGTATTCTTGCCACCTCTTCTTAATATCTTCTGCTTCTATTAGATCCTTTCTGTTTCTGTCCTTTATTGTGCCCATCTTTGCATGAAATGTTCCCTTGGTCTCTCTCATTTTCTTGAAGAGATCTCTAGTCTTTCCCATTCTGTTGTTCTCCTCTGTTTCTTTACATTGTTAACTTCAGAAGGCTTTCTGTCCTCTTGCTGTTTGGAACTCTTCATTCAGGTGGGTTTCTCTTTCTCCTTTGCCTTTCACTGCTCTTTCCTCAGCTGTTTGTAAGGCCTCCTCAGACAACTGCATTGCCTTCTTGGTTTGTTTTTCTTGGGGGTGGTTTTGGTCAGCGCTTCCTATATAGTGTCACAGACTTCTGTCCATAGTTCCTCAGGCACTCTGTCTACCAGATCTAGTCATTTGAATCTATTTGTCACCTACGCTGTATAATCATAGGGGATTTAATTTAGGTCATACTGTAATGATTAGTGGTTTTCCCTACTTTTTCAATTTAAGTCTGAATTTTGCCATAAGGAGCTGATGATCTGAGCCACAGTCAGCTCCAGGTCTTGTTTTTGCTGACTGTATAGAGCGTCTCCATTTTTTTTTTTTTTTTTTTTTTTTTGAGCTTCTCCATTTGTGTCTGTGAAGACTATAATCAGTCTGATTTTGGTATTGACCCTCTGGATCCAGTTAAACTTTCACGGTTTCTTAAAATTTGTATTTTTCTCTACAACTTAGAAAAAATAGTTTAAATAAAGGACAAAAATGTTCTTAGGAGATACGACATCTCTAAAATATTTTGGGAATTAGTCCAGGGCTCATGTTGCCAGATATAACACATAAAAATACGTGTCACCAGTTAAATTTGGATTTCAGATAAACAGCAAATGCATTTTAGATACAAGTATATCCTGTGTGATATTTGGGGTACATTTATATTTTTTAAAAACCTGTATTTGAGATACCCTTTGAATAGAGCACTATTTAGAAGAGAGTTACACTAAGAACTTTATTTGATGTTTATCTGAGAGTTTTACCAGCTGTGCTCTGTTCTTCCTGGCGTCTTCAAGTCTTGTTTCCTGAGCCCTTTCAGATGCACTTTTCCCAGTGGCTTCTGCCACCCCTTCCTCGCTGGCGCTCAGGCCCAGCTCACCCTGTGCCTTGTCCTTCCTCCTTTCTCCCCTCTGCCATGCCCACCTTTCCCTTTCCTGTAGTTTTTAAAAGGCTTGAGGTGTGTATTTTCTTTGGGCTGTGCTCGTCTTCGTTGCCACAGGGCTGTTCTCGAGCCGTGGGAGCGGGGCTGCTCACCAGTGGCCGCGACACGCTCCTCGTGGCGGTGGCTTCTCCAGTGCAGCACGGGCTCTCAGGCTCTGGGGCTGCAGCTCCCAGAGCTAGCTGCTCCAGAGCACATGGGATCTTCCTGTATGAGGGATCAAGCCCAGGTCTCCTGCACTGGCAGACGGATTCTTGACCACTGAGCCTCCAGGCAAGCCTTCTTTCCTTTATTTTTGAAAGCGGATCAGTGATACCAGGATAAGACATTTTATGTCACTTCATCTTTAGAATATGAAAGTACGGAAGGGAATACCTATATTGAAAGTGTATGTTCAGTTTCACAGTAATTTAAAGTAAATTATGGCATTAATTAGCTCTGAAGAGTCGAATCGTGTTTGCCACCTCTTTAACAGAAACATCCTCGGCAGGAGGGGTTGGCTGGTGTTGAACATCAGGAGGTGGAGGACAGCTCATCTCCTGGGGTCAGGCAGCTGTGACCACTCTGCAGAGCGCCGTCTCCAGCTTTGCTGTGCGGAGGAGTCAGGATGTGGGGCGGGTGCAGGGCGGAGTGCGTGGGAGCCACAGGTGAACCGGTGCCTGTGAATAAACACATTAGCTGTCAGAAGACACGGCTTTTGTCGACAGTGGTGGGTGGTGGGTAAGTTTCAGCACAATAGCTGTTAAACCTGAATTTACTTAAAATAGACCAGTGTGGGTATATAAAAGGAGAGAGATGGTGTCACGTTCATCGTACCCAGGGATCCTGCTTCTGTCCCACTGGTGGAAGAGCACACAGAACGTACCTCACTGAGATGTTATCGTTTCCTCTGAAGAGCAAAACAGAGACACCCAGAAGTCAGGTCTGTTAGGTCAGTGGCCATGCTTTGCTTGGGGCCAGCAGTTAGCCAGGTGGAACCAGGTGCTTGGCTCTTGCCAGTCCACTCCAACCGCGCTTAATACCAGTCATCAAGCACTGCACGTGTGTGGCCTGACCCCCGCGCAGGCGCCGTGGCTGCAGGTGGAGGATAGCCAGCTCTCACTGCTCACCTGTGCTGGCTCCTTGCCGTAGCGTCTCAGTAGGCTTTACGATGCCGTGTGGTGGGCGTCACAGCGAAGTTGGCAGCATACTCCCACCGGTGTAAGAGCTGTGCTCTAGATCTTGAGGGTTTTCACTGGTGTGGTCCTGTCCGGATGGCCCAGCTGCTCAGGTGTTACTTTTCTCTTTCCTGCTTGTGTGATCCAGCTGGAGTCTCATGGAGGCCCAAGATAGCAACGCCCTCTCACCCGCTTTGGTTGGATGCAGAATGACATTTCCTAATTCTTTGTTCAAACTGTATTTTACTGAGTTAGAGGCAGTGTGTACAGAAGCCTGGCTGACTATCAGAAAACGCAGTCAGAGTCACTAAGTACATAGTGGTTGCAGGATCAGCTTCTGCTTATAAAGGCCTTGGTCTTGTAAAGACACTTTGGTCTCCCAGTTTTGTGTTGGTTTATCTTTGTTTACTGCAAAACACATTTCTGTTTAGTGTGTAACTTCGTGTCTTTTGAAGCCCGACAGTACTGTTAGATGTCTTTAATCATCCATCACAGGATTTACCACTGTCAATCATTGGGTGCCAACTGCCTTTCTAGGTAGGCAGTCGCATTCTGTTTCAGGGGGCTCATGGCAGGGTTCTGTTTACCGAGGGGCTGATGTCCCCAGCAGTGCGGGTCTGGGCTGGAATAGTGGGTGGCGTTGGGTAACCAGAGCGTGCAGGAAGGCTTTCTGAAGGAGGATTGGCTGGGGTTGTGTGGAATTCGGAGGGACATAGACGAGCTCCAGAGGCTTCCGTTTGGTAGATACTGAAAATGTCTCTGGAAGATGTACAAGGTGCATCTAGGATACTGCCTCCCTCTTCCCACCAGCACCCTCAAACAGAGTGTTTTTCAGAAAAAATTACTGCCTCCCTTGTAGTTTTTAAAAAGTCAACCCTTGCACAGGTTTGTGTCATTTTCTCTCTTTGTTGGTGAGTACTTGACCACTTTGTACATAAGTTTCCTCCTGTGGTCACAGTGAGACGCTCTCCCGTGAGTGGGTTTGCTGTTGGTCTAGCGGCCCCTCACAGAGGGCCCCCGTCCCAGGCGCTGAGGGAAGCTGTGCGCGCCTCTGCCTCCGTGGTGTGCGGGCATCCCCGGGCTGCCTGCGTGACCTGGTCCTGCTCCCCTCTCAGGTCATCACCAACCTGGTGAAGATGCTGAAGTCCAGGGACACACGGAGGAACTTCTGCCCCCCAAATCACTGGCTGTCAGAGCAAGAGGATATTAAAGCAGATAAGGTATTCCTGGAAGATCTTTTACATACTCTTCATTAAACTTACTTTTTCAGCTTGTATTTTTCTGAGAAGAATAAATCTTTTGAAGTTGTTTATTTTGTAATTAATATTAACAGTAAACTTGTTGCTGACTCTCAGATCACATAAGAGAACGCATAACAGTATCACTGGCTTACACATGCATCCTGCATTTGTTGTTAATCCTAATTTGCTCTAAACCACGAAGTGTATTGACGTGTAATGGTTTTTTTGGGGGGGAGTTGAAAAACTTTTTCTTTTATTGTATCAATATATTTTTAGTATTAATAACTTAAAAGAGATGGAACTTATTTATGATTTTCTAAAGGGACAGAGACAAATGTTGAATATTACTAAGATCTAGATGTAAAGTAAATTCAGTAGTGTAACATATTCTGAAATAGTGAAAATAACATTACCAAAGGACTTGGGGTGTTTTCATTTTTGTTTTCTCAGGAAAACACATGACTGGATTCATCTTAGAATCTTGGGGCTGGGGGCAGAGAGTGACTGGGTATAGAAGCAGCATAACTACAGAAATGTTAAAGAAAAGAAACATCAGGAGTGTTTTAGAAGCATTGCTTTGTCTGCACGCATGCTGCATCTTTGCATTAAGCGTGTGGCACCCAGCCCTGCCCACGGCCCAGGCTGAGGAGCTGCGGCTGGTCCCGTGGCAGTGAGGGCCTCGGGCCTGTGGGCGTTTCTGACAGGGTCAGATGGAGGGGGTCTGCGAGACAGTGGGTCAATACTCTACCAGCCTTATTTGGCTGCTCATTCACACAACTTCTTTTAATCATGAGAACATGAATATTTGGTAATAGTAATAAACTGCTAGTTTTTAAGGGTGATATGGCTTCTTTGTGAAGCCGTCATTGTGTGGTGATTCACTGTGTCCAGATATTATATGTTGTTGATTAGAGCAAGTAGAGATTTCCCTGGGGTGTATTTAGGAACCGTAACTGCAGTGTGAAAGTGTAAAGGGTGGCCCACGTAGGGGAGAGAGTATGGGAAAGTCTTCTGGGAAGGCGCGGGTGGGACTGAAGTCAGGGGCAGGCGCTGAGCAGGCTGTGGCCCCACAGGTCACCCAGCTCTACGTCCCGGCGTCCAGGAACGCGTGGCGGTTCCGGCGGATGGGGAGGATCGGGCCCCTGCGGTCCACGCTGGACGGTAAGTGCTCTGCGGGCTCCCGGCCTGTGGTTTCTGACCTCGGTCGTCGCGGGAAAGCGCCTCGTGCCCAGGTGGCCAGCCCCACCCCGCCCCTGGCAGCCCCAGTAGTACCCCCTGCCTCACAGAGCGCAGCCCCGAGTCTGGAGGGGACGGGCGGCCTCACAGGGCGTTCTCTGCTTGCAGTAGGTCTGGAGTCTCCGCCGCTGTCTGTGTCCGAGGAGAGGCAGCTTGCCATCCTGACCCAGCTGCCCTTTGTGGTTCCATTTGAGGAGCGGGTGAAGGTATGCAGTTGGTTCTTTGCCGATTGATTCAGCGGGCTCAGTCTTTAAAAGTGACACCAGTGGGAAATTTTCTAAAGCTGGCTAGTGTCTGTGATTAAATAGTATGTTTTCTCACTAGATGTAGTAGTTGACCATGGTTTATAAAAGCATAACCCAACTAAATACCTGTTGAAGGATGTTTTGTTTGTATTCACCAACTTATCAAATTTCTGAAAACTGCCACACTTCACTGCTTACGAAACAGCTTCAAGAGGGTGTTTTTAGGCCTGCCCACTCTTCTCACAGGGTGAACATTTAACACTGTTGACATTTCTTCATTAAAACACACACATTAACACAACATTGTAAGTCAACTATATTCCAGTAAGAAGCACAAAAAGAAAAGAAGCCCCACGCACGCTTGCAGACTCCTACACACATGGTGCTCCGTAACTCCTGAGCACCCTCTGCTGGACTTCCAGCGTAAAACCTGCTACCGGGGTTTCCTCACCCTGGGGAGCGCCCTGCTGATGCACCAGCATCAGTGCTCCGCTTCTCACAGCTGCTCTTCCTCATGCTCCACCTGGAGTTGTGTGAAAGTCTCCAGAAGGAAGTAACGAAAATGTGCCATAGCAAGGGATTTTAGAAATTCGTTGTGAAGTGGGGAAAAGGAGCAACATTACGTAAATACTGCACATTTATTGTTAAGGCATAACATCAGTATTTGGTATCTTGGCCTTTAAAACTTGTCTCAGGATTTATGCATATAAAGAAGTTAAGGTTTATTTAATAGTTTTCCTTTTGGTTGCTTGTGTTTATGACAAAATGTCTGTTGTTTTCAAGTAACCTTATAGTTTCTCCTCTGTTAGATCTTTCAAAGGTTGATTTATGCAGATAAGCAGGAAGTTCAAGGAGATGGTCCATTTCTGGATGGAATTAATGTCACAATAAGAAGAAATTATATTTATGAAGATGCTTATGACAAACTTTCCCCCGAAAATGGTATGTATCATTCTCTCTGTATGTGTTCATATGGCAGGGGGAGGCTGGGGGGGTTATAGGAAAGGGTGATCATTAGAAAAATTAGTGTTGGTCGTCTTATTCTGTGATGACTGTTTAAAACAAATGTAGTACATCAGATTTGGGGGAATGTATATCTATTATCAAATAATAATTCTAAGACTGGCAAATACTTATTGCTACAGAAGCCTTTCAGATATTGTTTTTGTTGTTTCTTTTCTTAAGAAACTCTTCCTGTCCCCAAATATCTGTCTTTAAAATTTAGTTGACAAGCTTTAATTATAAAAATGTTGGAGAGACACATACAGACTGTATTTTGTTTATAACAGTCTATGTAAATATCATAAAATGTAAGCCAAGTTAAATATACTAAAGTAAATACCATTGCAATCCAAAATTCTTGATAAAAAGGTGAGTGTGCTTCAGTGACACTTCTATTAGGTAAAAGAGAATTATAATGTTAATTTGGACAGCATTTAGAGGTGAATGACACATTTTTGTCTTTTAGTGTTACTAATTTACTTATTAATAATTCTAACTTCGGAATTTGGTATCCATGCTATCACATGAAATCAGTGTTACATCAGTGCAGGTGACGGGAGGCTGCCAAATGTGGGATAGCAACTGCCTGTTCTTCTGGGGCAGCAGTTTAATTTTCTTCCAGAAAAGCAGAGCCTCTCATTTTGAATACTTCCTCTCTTCTCAGATAAAAAGCTACTTTTGTCATTTTGTAGGAACAGCAGAGGAAGGCTGACATCACTGGTTCCCTTACTCTGTTCTCGATTTTGTGTGCAAAATTTTTGTTTTCCGAGTAACTTAGTTTTGCTACATAGTCTGTGCCATGGCCCTCTAAGGTCAAGTACCGCACTGAGTGCTCCACTGCACAGGTTACCCTCACCTGGGAGGTCATGTTTTCAAAGCTTTTTGTGTAAGTGAGGCAACAATCAGATACCCTGATTGCTAGTCTAACATATTTTGGGGAAGAAGGAAAAGTTCTCCCACCTTTGGGGTCTACAGTCCCCTACAGATGAGTTACGTAGTCGTCGTCTCATTACGTGTCGCTGTGCTGGCAGTCCTGTCTCTGTGTCTCCCGCTTCACTGAGGGCCTTGTGCTTTGAGCCAGGGTCCCCACAGCTAGCACTCAGTAGATGTTTGTTGAATTTGTACTTGAAAACAAGAAAAACAAGCTGTAACAGAGTGTTAAATTGGCCACGATTGGCAGAGGGTTCAGGGAAGAGCGGGGTATGCTTGATGCTGGAGGCTTCCTGAGACGCACCACGTGAGGCAGGACTTGGGAACCGGGGGCCCAGTGCCACGTGAGGGGTCCCAGGGGAGGGCGTGGCTGTTCACGGCAGACCCGCCTCTGTGCTTGGTGAACCTGGGCTTCCGGCAGGGGCTCGGATATCTCTGAGCTCTTCCACTAAAATGAGAACACGTGCTTAGCAACACCTTTCAGCTGGCTCTAAAACCGTCTCATGGAGAGTGCGATGTTACTGCTCAGTGACACAAGCCCCAGGTTTCTGATGAGCCCTTCGTTAGGACTGAGAATGACTCGGAAGTTGGTCATATTCCAGCTCCTCAGTTGTGCATGCTGACAGTCTCACTGAGTTTAAAGAATTTGGAAAAATCATATAATATCTATATTATAATGCTTTAAATCTTTAAAGTATTCTTTAAGTCTGACCTTATTAATAAGTTTTCAACCATATATTAAAATTTTTCATATTTTGCTATGCAGATTGTAAAATTAAATATCATCTCAGTATGTTTAATTTACTTACGGAAAATTGAAGTGCTTTGTTGCCTGGTTATTTACATCTAATCAATTAATATGATTTTCCCATATATCATCTAGTCACTGAAGCAAATAGTGGCCATTTCTTATGGGCTCTCGTATCTCATATCATCTCAGAACAGTCTTCTGAGTTGTGGGTCTCGCCTCTGACAAGGGAGCTGATGTGGTGGAGCTCAGAGCAGCTGCGTGGTCTCTCTCGCAGTTGGGAGGTCGGTGAGCAGGGTGACACGTACGTTTGTCTGTGTGGACTGTGGGCAGGGAGTGTGCCTGCCCTGGGAGTCCCATGGCTCTGAGAGGGCGGTGGAGCTGGTGCCTCCCATCATGGCGAGCTCCGTGTGTTCCGCTGTGCAGGGCGAGGCGGCTGCAGCGGTGCTGGGCTCCGTTCCTGAGAGCGCTGCAGCGGTGCTGGGCTCCGTTCCTGAGAGCCTGCTCATGCTCCCTCGCGTGTTGGTTTTGTTTTGTTTAGTGGGCAAGATTTGTTACCTTGTTTCTCTGAAGAAGAAATGATAACAGGATAAAATCAAAGTCCAGTTGACCCTTGAACAATGCAGGTTTGAACTTTGCAGGTCCACTTAGGCAGATTTTTTTTTTTTTTCAAGAAATAGATTGGCAAACTTTTTGGAGATTTGTGACAATTTCAAAACACTGGCAGATAAAACTACTCAGTCTAGAACACTGAAAAAATTAAGAACTATTTGTCATGAATGCATGAAATATATGTAGATGCTAGTCTGTTATATCATTTGTTGCCAAAATTATGCACAAATCTATTATAAGAAGTTAAAATGTATCAAAACTGAGGGAAACACTCAGAACCTGTGTGGGGCCCCCAGCAGCTGGGAGAAATGGAAACAAGTCTGCAGGCGGTGGTGGGGAATTGGAGCCGTGGGAACCCCTGTCTGTCTGCAGTCTGCTCTGACAATCCCGGGGCCACCTCTGGTTGCTCCTGCTCGGAGCTCAGTGTGGTCACAAGCTGACCCCTCACCTCCGCCTGAGCACACCCCCTGCGGCAACGGGATCCAGGGAGCAGTGCCTGTTGCGCTTCCCTGTGTTTTCCATCATGGCGAGTGCAGTCCCGTGAGTGTTGCTCACGGCACTGGGCGCGCTCCTGGGGCGCAGGGAAGAGGCAGGATGCTGCTGGAGGATTTCCAGCTGCCTGGTCTGTATCCTCAGCTGTGGGGAGCACCCCTGCAAGACGGGAGCGCAGTGTGAGGGCCGCTGTCAAGGAGAGGAAGTTTGTGAAGGCATGGCGGCAGCTGCACACAGGCACACGGGCTTTGCACTGCTTGTGGCATCCCTTTGTATCTCGTATTGAAAGTGTGTTCAGGGTCGCCATAAGAAAGGCATTTCTGCAGACACGACTTGAGAGAAAGTGAAGTCCGTATGTATAATAACGTTTTTTCTTCTATGCGTGCTTTTACTAATTCTGTTTAATTTCCAGTGACATTGATGTAATTAAAAATTACTAAGCAATTGTGATGTGTTATTTTCATAATATTTTAAGTTTACATATTTTATTTATACAAAATTCAGATATGTTTTCAGTTAATTTACTTTTTCTGGAAAATTTTCAAGCGCAAAGTATATCCATATGTTATGTTAAAGCTTTACATTTATCTTGGTTTAGTTGCTAAGTCGTGTCCAACTCTTGCGATCCCATGGACTGTAGCCTGCCAGGCTCCTCTGTCCGTGGGATTCTCCAGGCAAGAATACTGGAGTGGGTTGCCATTTCCTTCTGCAACGTTTATCTTACATACCTTAAAATTTACTTTATCTTATTAGTCGTAAAGAAGGAAAAAAACATTTAGTAACCATGTTGCTTTAAAAATTGTCAAGAGTTTTCAAGAGAGCCTTAAAATTGTGAAGAGAACCCTAAAATTTGTTTCCAGTTTGTTCAAAATGGCATATTATACTGCTATTTCATACCTTATATGGCAGCATGCAGCAAAAGGAAGGTGACAGAGCCGGAGCGAAAGAGCTGTGTGCCGGGGAAGCATGGCTTTGTGAGTGTAGAAAGCAGTCTGGCTTTTCAGCTGCCGTGAGGACAAGGAGAAGCAGCGCTTGGCCCCCACGGGCAGCAGAGTGCTCCCCGTGCCGTCGGGACGGCACTGAGCAGAAGGGACCGCTGTCTGGACAGGTTTCCAGCCGGACAGCGGTGCCTGTTCTGGGAAAGACCGCCAGAAAGGACAAGTACTAGGGCAGGTCCTGTGCGCGAGCGCTCGGGTTTGTTGTGGTCAGCACTGCCCTTATCTGTAAAGCTGCTCACCCCCAGCAGTCCACCCTTTGGTAGGATGGTGGGAGGGCCAGGACCTGAGAGCCCTTTTTCTGGATTGTTCTGTCAATGCCTGGCCCTTACCATCAGGAAGCACCTGGTGGTTCAGAATGGCCTTCATGGGGGCTCTGATCTCCGGCGGTGCCCGTGGCTACCAGACCCCATGAAAGGACAGGAAGGTCTACTGGCTCATAGAGCACGTCTCTAATGGAACCTCTAGGCTGGGGCCACGGGGACCTTCCAGGCTCTGTACACACGGTTTTCCAAGGAAAGGCTCATCAGCAACGTGTCAGAGACCCCGACAGAGCATCACGTGAGCTTGGGAGGACCACAGCCTTGAAGATGCCATCCTTGCTGGAGAGAGAGCTGAGAACGCTCCCGAGTCGGGGGTGACACATTCCCGCTGGGGAGATGTCCGGATGCGTCATGTGATTTCATAGGACTTGTGGCTGAGCCAGTCAGGGAAGGCATGGTGGGGGGGGTGGGGACAGGCATAGGGGGCCTTGGAGCAGGACCTGGGCAGCCAGAGGACGCCACATGAGGGGAGCTACTGGGGGATGACTGGGTGGGGACCACAGCCTCCGGCCCAGGCCTGACAACATCGAAGAGGCGCCAGGGAGGCGGCAGAGCCTGGAGACATGCGGCAGACCCCCAGGCAGGGCGCTGTGATCATTGAGGACGACTGCTGACTTGAGTCACTCTGTGGGTCTTCCGGGATACAGGCGCCGAGACTACAGCGAACAGTGGGAGCGGGGTTGGTGCTGTACAGACATGGGTTCAGAGAAGAACACAGGTGCCAGGGCAGGAGCTGGGATGTGTCTCCATCAAGTGAGGCCACATGGGCCTGCTCCTCCACCCCCCGCCTCTGCCACCCTGGGCAGCAAGACCACCCCTCTGCCTGTTCCTCCCCCACCCCCAGCCTAATGAGCCTGAAGACCAGAGGGGGCAGGCTTCTGTAATGACCCACCTCCACTTAATGGTGAAGAACCGTCACGCCACCCAGTCACATGTTCGCTGCTGTGAATGTGAGCGTCTTCCTGTGAAAACCTGGTGTCTGTGTCTATGAAGACACACAGACTTCAGTGTCTTCATCGCCCTCCTCCTCGTCACCTGCGTATTCATCTTGCAGAACACCGTGAGCAGGACTTGCAGGGAAGTGGACAGCCTGTGCTTTCAGAAGCATAGAGTGAGTGATGCTGACCATAAAATTAATACCATGTTAGCTTTCTTCCTGTTTTATGACTTGGCCTTCAAAGAGTTATATTACCAAGCACTATGCCTCTCTCTCTCATGATTGAGGAAACTGCTCATTACCTTACCATCACAGGTAAGGGATGTTTAAAACATGGAACAGTGGTACCAGCCCTGAAAGATGAACAGGACTGTAACAGTGTGCGCTGTAAACATTCCTCGGCATTCGCTCCTTAGTGTACAGGCTGGACTATACTGTATAGCATATTCCTGATGCTTCATCAGCAGTGCCCGAGTCATTATACCCTTTGTTGCTCAGTCACTAAGTCGTGTCTGACTCTGTGACCCCATGGACTGCAGCACACCAGGCTGCCCTGTCCCTCAGCATCTCCTAGAATTTGCTCTTCCTTGGCGGCTCAGATGATACTAAAGAATCTGCCTGCAGTGGTTTTTTTACCCAGGGTTTGATGCCTGGGTCAGGACGATCCCCTGGAGGAGGGCAACCCACTCTAGTACTTGCCTGGAGAATTCCATGGACGAGGAGCTAGGACACTACAGCCCATAGGGTCGCAAAGAGCTGGACACGACTGAGCAACTAACACTCCTTCGCGTTTTTCCATTGTTTGATATCAGGTGTTAGCAATACATACAGCATCTTCCATGTTGTGTATCGTGTAAGACCGTGTTGTCGCGGGTACTGACAGCCCGGTGGTGGTTCTTGAAAGCAGATGGTGTACACTTGAAGTGGCAGTAAATAAGTACAGTACTGTGAATGTATTCTCTCTTGCTTTTGACTTTTGTAATAACATTTTTCCTTTTCCTCGCTTACTTCCTTGTAAGAGTACAGTATATAACTCGTATACCATACGAAACATGCTGATTGACTGTGTTAATCAGTAAGAGAGGCAAAAGTTACACTTGGATTCTCAACTGTGTGGACCCCTGACTCCTGAATTGTTCAAGGGTCAATTTACTTAGGGCCCCCCCAGTCTTAACTCCATACGTGGGTGCTTTTAATTTGTCTTTTGAATCAAGAAGTGGCAAGAAGACTAGATTTGATTCTATAAATATTGTGTTGTTGTGTCTTGTTAACAGAAATGAGCTTCAGGGAGCCATAGACCCTTAGTTCTAGCCAGAACTGCGAGGTGGCTTCTCTGAACTCTCTGAGATAGACCTCTCCTCCCCCGCCTGGAATGTCATTGCCAAGATTTGAGCCAGCAGTTAACGTGTGTACCTTGGTGGAGCGTTTCCCAGTTACAAAACATTTATTTACACTTAGAACTTTCAAAATCTAATGCTGCTAGCTGTTGACATTCAGTTTGAGAAATACTGTGTATGATGAATGCTTATAGTTCATCCTTAAAGCTGAGTGTTGAGAGGATAGATGTAAAGGTTGTGTTGCATCCATAGTTACCTGCTTAGAATTCTCTCTCAGAATGAATGTGTTTGGTAATTGTATTGCTCAAAATAGATGCAAATAGCATGTCTGTGGAATTCAGTCATCAGTGAAAAGTTCTTCATTTGAGTATAGTTAGATTTTAAATAGTGTGTGTTAAATTACAGCCCTGCCCTTGACACTGTTTGCTCCGCGTCCTTGGATAAGTAATTCACCGTCCCTGTCCGTGGTTTCGCCACAGGAGAATGGGCTGTTCTTACCGGAGACTGTTGGAGCGTTGGAATGGTTACTGTGTGTGTGCGGTCCCTGGCATGGGCTCCTGCCCGGGGCGGGAATCAGGTGGCTGCCCCTTAGAGGGCACGAGAGGACGTGAGAGGGCGCCGCCCCCTGGCTGGGTGCAGGCGTGGCCCTGCTGTGCGTGTGCTAGGCGCAGCGCTCGTCCCGCCTGGCGGGGCGGGTGGCCCTCACGCAGGCGCAGTCAGGGGCACAGGCTCACACCCCACGTCCTGAGGCCTTGACGCTGACACTTGTGCATCACGCTGTTGGGGTTCAGTGGACCCTGCGCTGGCGGAACCCCTTTCCAGGCTCTCTCCTGGAGGTCCCCGGGCGCCCTGAGAGGCCTCGGGTCGGACGCGTGTGAGCAACTGCACACTGCCTGAGAGGTGGCCGTGGCGCAGACCTGCAGCCGGGCTTCCGCACCCACCCCTTCTGTGCCGCCTGGGGGATGCCAGCAGGAAACGATGCAGGACGCGTCAGTTACGTGGTCGGACCTGCCTCCTCAGGGGTTAAGCCGGGCGGGATCTTTCTGACTTGTGGAGTTGTCTTTCATGGCCCATGTCTTGAAGCCCATACTGAAAACTGTTGCATTCGTTGCAAGTGAGTCTGGGGCCTAGTGTTCCTACTTCTGCGAGCTGTCCTTATGAGGACTGTGTGCAGGTGTGTCTCACATGTCAGGCAGACTTCAGCTTTGCAGCTTTTTAAAAGAATTTAATCTTGTGGCACATTATATAACCAAAAATTTTCCCCATTTTTCAGCCAAATATTGTTTTAAATGATGATGTAGCTTCTGGCGTTCTGACTCTGTCACTCACTTCTTTCAGAGTGTCTGTGTGATGCTAACTTCAGTGACTTCTTTGTCTGTCTCTTTGCCTTCCTTGGTGACTTTCTGTCCCCGTGTTATCCTTAAGTCCTAACTCTGCCTGCTCCCCTCCTAGTGTTTGAGTTTGTTACTGTGTGGGGGGTTTCATATATTCTCCTGAACACCCCCTCCTGCCCCTGCCCGCTCCATTCTTGGTCAGAGTGGAGGAGTCTGAGGGAAGCCCTGGTCAGCCTAGCTCATTGTCTCAATGTTGTTGGGTTTTTTTAAGCCTTGCGTTAAAATAGTTTTAATATTCTTGCTCCCCTTCCCTAACTTCCTGTAATACCAACTTAATTTTACTGCTTTTTAAAAAGATATTTTCTCCTCGCCCCACCCCCCTTTTTTAACAGAGCCTGACTTGAAAAAGCGGATCCGTGTGCACTTACTGAATGCTCACGGCCTGGACGAAGCCGGCATTGACGGTGGTGGTATTTTCAGAGAGTTTCTAAATGAACTACTGAAGTCAGGGTTTAACCCCAACCAGGGGTTCTTTAAGACCACTAACGAAGGGCTTCTGTACCCCAACCCAGCCGCTCAGATGCTTGTGGGCGATGCCTTTGCCAGACATTACTACTTCCTGGGCAGGATGCTTGGAAAGGTAACGTAAACTCGACGTGAACGTGGGTCTCTGACTGTGGGGTGCTGACTTTGTGTGTTTCTGTGTGGTTACTGTCTTTTTCCTTGAGGATCTTTATTCAGAATTGCTTACGTAATTTTGATGAACCTTGAATAGTGTTTTCTTTTATAACTACATTACGTGCATACATACATTAAAAATTATTCGTGTAAGAGAAGGGTGAGGGGGCCTGAGGAGGAGGAGGTTAACCCGAGCAACTACAGTGGCAGCGGCGAAAAATTTAAAAAAAAAATTTTACACGTGTAGAAAACAGAGAACACGGTTATAAAATTCTGACGGAATCTTATACGCCGTAATTACCTGCCTGCACAGGTAGTATAGAGACTTTAAGTCTTGGCAGTTGCTCTTGTTGACAACTAGCATTAAGCGTGGCCCTTGTAGAGTCCTGCGCCGCGTTCAGAGCGCCGTGAGACAGAAGGCCGCGGCTACTCAGCACACGTAAGTGTCTGTGCCCTATGCCCGCCCTTTTGGCATCTGGCCCCTTCAGGATGCTGCGGTGACGTGCAGTGGCCAGAGTGTAATGGACTGCACCGTCTTGGCAGACAAGGCTTACCTACCCTTTCTTATAGATGGAAGGGAGTTTAATTGTGTAACCAGGTGGCGGCTTCCTGTTCAGCGATGCAACTTTGAAAGCACACATTCCCGCTGAAGTCAGGAGCAGGACAGCCGTCACCGCTGAACGAGCCCAGCCCTGGCCTCAGTCTGTCCAGGCTGCTGCAGCAGGGCGCCACAGTCCGGGCAGCTTATACCCCACACGGATTGACTTCTCGCAGCCCCGGCTGGCCTCTGGGGCACCACGTGTCCTGTTTGGTGCAGCCCCCATCCTGGGCCATAACCGGAGCCTGTGTCCTCACATGGTGCAAGGGGCCGGGGAGCCCCGTGGGGCTTCTCTGTAAGGGCACTAACAGTGTTCGTGAGAGCTGCACCCTCGTGACCTAAGCACCAGCAGCCGCATCTCCCAGCACTGTCACGTGGTGGGGTTGGGGAAAATCAGACGGCAGCGTAGCCCGCAGATGTGCCAGGCCCAGCCCACAGGTGTGCAGTTTCTGTGTGGTTCTTTTATTTCTCCTGTCTGAGATAGCAGAGAGGAATGCCTGATGTTTAATCGCTGTCCACCACCTTTTTAGAGGCAGACTGGACTGTAACACAGGGACAGGAATCCGTTCATCTTCTGAAGGTCAGAGGAGTGACCAGAGGCAACTCTGAAACTCAGGGCAGCAGACTATAGCCCCTGACCAAGCCTACCCCGTTTCATTGTTTACAAAACGAACAAGGCTCTCCTGCGATGTGGCTGAACTGGCTGCTTTCCCCGTGGTGGGAGCAGGTGGGCAGTTTCCCTGGGGTCTGTGCTCTGGGGCCCTTTCCCTCACCAGTCCATCAGCCTTGCAGTGGGGGCAGCCAGCAGCCCAGACACAAAGGCTTGGGTCTCCGTGGCAGGAAGCTGTCTCCCCGTGCCCTGGCTATGCAGTCTCTGTCCTCAGCAAATGCTGAGGTGACAGGTGTGCTGGTTTTAGGGAGGCCCCGTGGAAGCCTGAGGACAGAGGTCTCCAGAGGCCGGGACAGCAGCCCAGCCCCGGCACTGGTGCCCGGGTTCCTGGAGACGCGTGTGAGGACGGAAAAGCAACACTGGATTCGTGAGCAAGCTTTTGTGTCCTGGGTGTTTTTTGTTTTTTTTTACTGGTCATGTTTTTATTGAGATAGAGTTTGCCGGCCATGCAGCTCACCCAGTTGAAAAACACAGATGAGCAGCTTCAGTGCATTCACAGAGTTGCACGGCCATCACGAGTTTAGGACATTTTCATCACCTATATTAACTCCTCCCCCTTCCCTCCAAAGAAAATCTAGGCAGACGCCGGTCGACTTTCTGTCCTTTTTCAGCTCTCAATAAGTGTACCATTTGTCTCCTGTTTGTGTTCTTCTGCACGTGTCCTGTGAAGTGTATGCCTCTATGATTGGCTCCTTTCCCCATTTTCAAGGGCCGTTCAGGTTGTGATGTGTCAGAACTGTGTTCCTGTTATTTACAAGTGGTCCTCGGTCCTGTGACAACCACTTTACGTAACCGTCCCTCAGTCGGGGACCTGAGGGTTGTTCTGGGTGATGTTTTTAGGGGGCAGCATGATAGAAATGAGTTCTTCAGGTGCTTACGGGGGAGGGGGTGGGAGGGTTAAGGTGGATCTTGTCAGCCTCTCAGCAGGCCTGGCCCTCAAGGGATGAGAGAGGTTCTGGGGAAGAACGATGGGTGGGGGGGTGGGGGGGTTGGTGTTCCCAGGTGGGGTGGCCGTCTTTGGTGAAGTGACCGTGAATGCAAAACCAGATGGAGGGGTGGTGGTTTGGGATCCTGGGAGATGCTGCAGAGAGCTGAGGAGCAGAAGCCGTGCCCTCCGGGGACGAGCGGTGGGCTGCCCTGGGCTGGGCCGGGTGTTGTGCTGTTAGATGAGGTGAGGGGCGGGGTGCACCAGGGCGTCCCCGCGGACCTCAGCGGGGAAGGCTACAGAGGAAGGGTCTCCGTCCGGAGGAGAGCGTAGCCCAGAGGAGGCTGAGCGGTGCATACAAGGCAGCTGTGGGGTTAGGGAGGTGGGCGCAGGGAGGGCACGGTTCTCCTGGCGGCAGGACACACAGCCTGGGGGACAGACCAAACGGGAGCCCCGTGCGAGGATCCGTGTCCAGGGGTGGTGACCCAGTAGCTTTGTCATCCTTAAGTAATTTAGAGACTAGTGTTGCAATATAATTTTCTATAAAAGTTAGAACTATAGTAAATTTCAACTTTATCATTCAGTTCCTGTGTGGAGCGCATCGGTGGTCTCTTCCATGTGGTCCATGTTGTCTTCAGCAGACCTCCGCTCTCCCCCTAGAGCTCCGTGGACGGAGTGGCCCGTTTGAGAAGCACCCTAACTAAAAATCAGGGCCTGCAGAGTAGACCATGCTCTTGTGACTTATTTGAAATAAAGAAGTATAGTTCACATTCCATGACATTCTGCCTTTTTAATGAGTACAGTTCAGTGATTTCTAGTATGTTCACTGAGTTGTGCAGCCATCACCACTAAGATTTCAGAACAACATAGTGAAAGAGGAAACCTCATGTTCATTAAGAATTATTCTCCTTCTGCTCCAGTCCTACCAGTCCTGGGCCACCACTAACCTACTTTTTGTCTCTTCAGTTTGCCTGTTCTAGACTTGTCATAATCACACGACACGTGGCCATTCAGGACTGGCTTATTTGCCTTGGCGTAATGTCTTCAGGGCTCCTCCAAGTGGTAGCAGATTATCAGTGCTTCATTCCTTTCTTGTCTGAGTAGTATGTCATCGTGTGATGAAATACCACAGTTTATCGGTTCATTATTTCATGGAGGTTCAGGTTGTTTCCACTCTTGGCTCTTATGAGTAATTCTGCTGTGAACATTCATGTACAAGGTTTTGTGTGGACAGTGTGTTTGCGTGTGGATGTCTGACCATCCTGGCACTCTTGCTGACAGTCAGTTGACCACACCTGTGAGAGTTTGTTTCTACTCTGTTCCATTCCTCACTGTGTCCAGCCTTCTGCCAGTGTGGCCCTCTTGTGATTGTGTGGGGGGGTTTGTATGTGCACGCTGACGACAGCGGTGATGGAGCCCCAGACCTAACAAAGCAGAGACTGAGTCCTAGTTATAAAACCGTGCCCCTTAGTCACATCTCTTTGAGATGCATCATTACAGGCCCGGTTATGATTTATTAGTTCAGATTCCAAACGTTGCTGTTTTAGTAACCGACTTTAAGTGTTCTTCAGCGTTAGTGATGGGCTTCCACTTGACCGTTTGGACAGGAAGTTTTCCTCAGGCTCACCCATTTCAGTGGCAGGTTTCAGGCAGTGACCTGATGTTTAGGTTCCTTAGCATGAGTTTCAGATAGATCACTTTCCTACTGTAGTTCATTTAAGGCACAGTGTATTGCTCCCGCCTGGGGCCATGAGTGGTCCTGGGATCAGCGCGCAGACCACCTCCTCTGGCCACAGCCCCTCTCCGCCCCACCTCAGCTCCCTCCCGGGAATGGCTTCATAAATCATTGCCAAAAAATCTGAAGTGATGTGCTGTCATTGTTTCTATGAAGATTAGCCTTGATTTTACTAGGCTAACCTGAAAAGTGCCCTAAATGCAATGGTTCTCATACCGTGCAACGCCAGACAGCAGAGTGATTTCATGTGCATGAATTAAGTCTTAACTACAATTCTGTATATTTTCCTTCCTGAATGTGAGACTTGTCCAGTCTTGATCAACAGGCGGTCCTGGCTGGCTGGAGCTTTGAGGTCCAGCACTCGACCACTCTGTGTCTGCATAGTGACGCTGCTCACGCGTGTCTGTGTGTGTGTCTGCATAGTGACGCTGCTCACACGTGTGTGTGTCTGCATAGTGATGCTGTTCACGTGTGTGTGTGTCTGCATAGTGACGCTGCTCACGCGTGTGTGTGTCTGCATAGTGATGCTGCTCACGTGTGTGTGTGTTTGCATAGTGACGCTGCTCACCTGTGTGTGTCTGCATAGTGACGCTGCTCACGTGTGTGTGTCTGCATAGTGACGCTGCTCGTGTGTGTGTGTGTGTGTGTGTCTGCATAGTGACGCTCATGTGTGTGTGTGTCTGCATAGTGACGCTGCTCACGCATGTGTGTGTGTCTGCATAGTGACGCTGCTCGTGTGTGTGTGTGTGTGTCTGCAAAGTGACGCTGCTCACGCGTGTGTGTGTCTGCATAGTGACACTGCTCATGTGTGTGTGTCTGCATAGTGATGCTGCTCACGTGTGTGTGTGTCTGCATAGTGACGCTGCTCACGTATGTGTGTCTGCATAGTGACGCTGCTCACGTGTGTGTGTGTCTGCATAGTGATGCTGCTCACGTGTGTGTGTGTCTGCATAGTGACGCTGCTCACGTATGTGTGTCTGCATAGTGACGCTGCTCACGTGTGTGTGTGTCTGCATAGTGATGCTGCTCACGTG